CACGGCACGGCACGATGCAGAACACGGCACCTTTTATCTCAGCGGCTCCCTCGGTGACACATGGGCTAAGCCAGGATGCGAGACCTACAGGCTGCGCACGGCGGCCGCACGCTGACTGCGCGCAGCGGATCCCCGCTGCCGGCTCCCGCCCCGCAGCTTGCGGCGCCGAGCCCGGCAGGGGGCGGCCGGTCCGTCCCGGCGCGGCTGATGAAATCGCCCTCTCCGAGCCCAGCGCGGCGCTCACCGCCCGCAGACCCCTCCGGGGAGCGCGGTTCGGATCAACCCGGCCCCGCATTCCGACCCCGCGCGGCCCCGCCCGCACTCACCGCGTGCTCGCCGGGCGCCTGCTGCTTGAACGTGGTGGAGAGCGAGACCGGCGGCACCAAGGCGCCCGAACGCCACTGCTCGGGCTCCTGCCCGGCGTGGATGGCCTGCGTGCCGAAGTGCGCGAAGGGCTGCAGGTAACCTCGCTCCATGACCGCGATCCGACCGCCGCCGCTCCGGCCCCGCGCAGCCTCCCAGTCCTTCACGGCCGCGGCTCCGCCCGGGGGCACGGCGCGGGAGGGGCGTCGCCGCCCCCCGCCATTGGCTCCGAGCCGCCGGGCAGCGCCCTCGCCGCGGGGCGGGGCAGCGGAGTTGGGCCGGGCTCGGGTCGGGGTTGGGCGCCGTGCGGCGGGGCTGGGAGGAGCGGGTGCGGAGAGCTGCGGCTGTAGAGGATGCGCGCTTAAAACGCAGAACGAGCTGCGCTTTTCCTCAGCTCCTCTTCTGTTTCCAGCGCGGTTTGCGCCGGACCGGGAGGAACAAGTGCTGGAGCTGCTCCGTGTGCTGCGCTGGGCACGTGGCGGGGCCACATAGCAGCACCCAGCTCCTGCACGGCCTCTTGTGCACAGCATCACAGGAAAGTCCCCCAAAAAGCCATTTTAGAAGTGCTGCCATAAAATATGACTGCTCTGTGGGCCGAATACAGCAGCTTGCATCTTGAGTACTGTGTTCAGGTCTGGAGCCCCAGTACAGCAAAGACAGGGAGCTGTTGGAGAGGGTCCAGAGGAGAGCACAAAGATGGTCAGGGGGCTGGAGCAGCTCCTTTGTGAAGAGAGGCTGAGGGAGCTGGACTTGTTCAGCCTGGAGAAGAGAAGGCTGCGGGGTGACCTCACTGCAGCCTTTCAGTACCTAAAGGGAGCCTACAGACAGGAGGGGAATCAACTCTTTGAAAGGGTCAATAACTGCAGGACAAAGGGAAATGTATTGAAGTTGAGGGAGGGAAGATTGAGGTTGGATGCCAGGGGGAAGTTCTTTACAGAGAGAGTGTTGAGGTGCTGGAACAGCTGCCCAGAGAGGCTGTGATGCCCCGTCCATCCCTGGAGGTGTTCAAGGCCAGGTTGGATGGGGCCCTGAGCAGCCTGGGCTGCTGTGAAATGTGGAGGTTGGTGGCCCTGCATGTGGCAGGGAGTTGGAGCTTCATGATCCTTGGGGTCCCTTCCAACCCTGGCCATTCTGTGATTGAGGATGGAAAATGACAGGCATGTAGGTGAAAGCATTGCCCACATTCCTCCCATAGCACTGTGTGCAATAGGGGACAGCTGCTGAGGGGCCCGGTGACCACAGGGGAATGGCAGCACCGCACAGCCCCAGCGCATCGGCTGATGTGCCCAGCTGAACTCACACAGCCCAGAACTCAGTGCTTCTGGTTGCAGACGGCTTCTCTTACACTCCAACCTGGACTTTATTTATTTTTATATAAATTGAGGCAAATTGAGTCTTTTGTGGCTGTTGTTGGAGCATGCTGTGCTGCTGACATACAGCTCTTTGGGTGTTCTTGCTTTCACAGACCCTCATCCTCCTATCCCCCATCAGGGGCTGAAGCACTTTGCTGAGTAAATATATAAAGGAACTCTGCGGATGGCTCAGTCCCATGGATTGGCGTGGGAAACATGAGAAAACTGCTCATGCTTTTCTTTCTTTTTAGCAGGAAGATGCAGGCAGTTCCGAGGTGCTTCAGGACAGCACTGGCCCAACAGCAAAGAGAATTACTCCTTCATTGAGATAGTCATGGAGGCTACGATGTCTTAAAATTCCTTACCTACTTTTTCCTGTGAAGTTTTGTTTTATTCAGTGGCCTTTGTCACTTTGAAAGATGTCTTTCTCTCTAGCACATCTCTCAAGTCAGTCATTCTGAGTGCCTCAGAAAAGCAGGTTAATTTCACTGAGCTGGCAAATTCCATTCACTGCCCACCTGGACCTCATTTGTTTTTGTGTTGCCACTGGAAATAAGGAAAAAACACATCAGGAGAGATCACTCCTCGGTGCTTTCAGTATTTTGTTCAGCACTCTTTACAAGTTCAAGTGTTACTATTGGACTTACAGCTAGAAGAAATGCATGGGGACACCTATGGTATGCCATTGTCATTTGCTGCCTACCTTTGGGTTTTGAAAAAATGTTGCCTTAGCTTTTTACACCTCCCTATTTTTTGACCAGTTTCTTTATATACTGCACAAGCTGGCATTGCTCCTAGAGGAACATAGCCATAAGGAATTACATCTCTGTTATTTATATCCTGCTTGAGGATTTCCATAAGTGAAGGTTCCATAGGCTCACAGTGTAGAAAATGCAGTTCTGCATCTGATCTGATCCTACTACTTTTATCTAGCTTGCTTGGGAGAGAGCAAATGAAGTGATTTGGGAAGATAGAGAATATAAACAAGCCAAAGTCAAGTTGTTAAACAAACAAACATTCTCAAGGGTTTCTAAGTACATTCCCAGTGAGGGAGGACATCTGGATTCACTACCAACTCCATTTTCCACAGAGCAGTTTCCATCAGTAATGAATTCATTGTTTTTCTGGACTGAATAAGGGACTCCATAATAAGCTGGTAAACAGTGACTTCATGCCTCTGCCTACCCTTAGCTGGCCTTCAGTAATTAGAATTGCAACCCGAAGCTTCCAACCCTCGGGAAGCACCAGCCAAAAGCTGAGCTAGCACACCTCCCCCACAAGAACAACTGCATGTGCAAACATTCCCTTGTGTTGCACTGGAGAATAGAGGAGAGACGTCAGAATTGCCAACAGCAATCACGTAACATCACCAACAGCACCAGCCTCTCAAATCCTGTCTGTAAGCGGATTTTAATTTCCTCTAAGAGTAAGGAAAGCCAGACAAATCTCAAGGAAAGAACAATGGACCATAGAATGAAGTGATATGCTTACTTATGTAAAATTCCTTGTTAGAATTATAAATAGCCATGCCAGAAGCAGCTGTGCTGTCACTGACGACAAGGCACAGAAATCACATTTCATAGTTCTTATCTCCTTCCAGAATTATTCTGAGTCACTTAATATGATGCAAACGGAGTAAAGAAAGAGGGCATCCAGAAAGGTGCGCTGTTTATCGCTGCAGATCTAACCTTTCAGACAACTTGCAGGTTGTCTTCCCTGGAATCACTGGTAAAAATTGCAGTCTTCCTGGAATTCGACACATCATCATTTTCTAAATGATTCATTGCACTATTGTAAGTGCTTGCAGAACTGATGCTGGAGAAGCAGCTTGTGGGAAACGCCAATCCGGTGTGATGCAGTTGCTTTATAAAACAATAATGCATCTGCAAGTACTGAGGGACACCACTCTGTGTGCTTTTAAGGGTGACAATTTGTCCACCATGCAAGAATGGTGATTTGAGGAGATGGTGTTGAACAAAGCCAGTTGACTTTTTGTAACCAGTAGTCATCCCGTGCTCTTTACAGGGGAGGTGAATGGACTCCTTGGGTTTATTGCAGCATTGCGTGGCTTGTGTACACACCTGGCATGCAGCAAGGGTGGACATTGTTGTCCAGAGTTGAGTAACTAAAGCTCTAACCAAGCCATTACGGAGCCAGCTTGCCTCCTCACAACCGGACCTGAAAGGAATCAGTTTGTAGCTGAGGGAACTGGGCTTATTTAGCTTGAAGAGAAGGCTGCAGAGGAAGCTCATTGCTGCCTTCAGTACTTGAGGGAAGCTGATAAACAAGAGAATGACTTTGTACATGAATAGATAGGCCAGGGGGGAATGGCTTTAAGCTGAAAAAGAGGAGACTTGGGTCAGATGTGAGGGAGAAGTTGTTCACCCAGAGGCGGTGAGGCCCCAGCACTGCTGCCCAGAGCCATGGGTCTCCATCCCTGGAGGTGCTGAGGCCATGGATGGGCCCTGGGGGGCAGGAAAGCTCAGAGCAGAGGTAGGATGGGGAGTTTGGGGCTTCCCTCTAACCCAATCGTTCTATGATTCTATGTTCAGAGAAAACATTTGCCACGGACTGAGAATCTGGGCCCCCTCCTCTTGCTGCGATGTCACTACAGGCTGTGGTTTTCTCCTCGGCAAACCCGCGTGCCTTCCTTCCTTTGGAACTGCAGCACTTCAGACAGCTGGGATGGGGGGTTTGCAGGTTTGCAGGCAGGCGCTGCTGGTGGTCAGGCACAGACTGGCACGGGCTGCCCGTCCCTGGAGATGCTCCATGGCCGTGGAACTAGGGGACTAGTATGGCACCAGGGGACACGGCCGGTGGGCATGGTGAGGGCTCTGACTGCACTTGGTGAGCTTAGAGGGCTTCTCCAACCGCGACGACTCTGATCCCATACCCGTGACGTAACCCCACTAAGAAGGCCAGCAGCCCCGCCCAGCTCTGCCCGCTGCGGGGCGCCCTCTCGCCCGCCCGCGCTGACACGGCGCTCAGGGGCGGTGTCCCGCCGCCGTCTCGCGGTGCCGCCAAGTCTCGCCCCGCGCCGCGCCTCTCGCGGGAGTAGCCGGCCAAGATGGCGGCGGCGCCGGGCCGTTGAGCGGGCCCCCGCGGGCGGGAGGCGTCAGACGGAGGCGGGCGGGCGTCGGGCTCCTCAGCGCCGCGGCCGTTTGAGGTGGGGGATGCCGACGGGACGGGACTCGCCGCCGCGGCTCTGAGCGCCTCGTCCCTCCGGCCGCGGCCAGTCTCCCGGCGGGGTCCCCCCCCTCCCCGCCCGCGGGGCCGCCGCCGGCGATGACCGGCGAGAAGCTGCGCTCGCTGCGCAGGGACCACAAACCCAGCAAGGAGGACGGGGACCTGCTGGGGCACGGCGAGGAGGAGGCGGCCGCCGCGCCCGGAGCCATCTTCACCGGGGGGCGCGGGAGCGGCGGCAAAGGCGGCCGGGCCGGGGGGCACCGCATCTTCAGCAACCACCACCACCACCAGCAGCGGCTGCCGCCGAAGGGCGGCCTGGCGGGCGGCGGGACGGGCCCGGCCGCGGAGCCCGAGCGGAGCCCCGCGCACTTCCCCGTGCACGAGTGCGTCTTCAAGGGGGACGTGAGGCGGCTGTCGGCGCTCATCCGCACGCAGGGCATCGGCCAGAAGGACAGCCACGGTGAGCGGCGGGCGAGGCCGTGCTCGGGGCTGCTGGGGGCGGACGGTGCTCCCTGCCTGCCTGCTTTCCTGCCTGCCTTCCTTTCTTCCCCCCTGGGGAACTGCCTCAGCAGTCCAGGCCGGACCCGCAGGGCACACCGGGCCAAGCAGCACCGCTTGATGCATACAGTGTCCGTTCTGCTTTGTGTGAGCTGCTTTTTCCTTCTTCTGTCATGTTTTGGAGAGTTTCATCACCCTCACTGTCTCATTTCTGCTTAGCTCAAGCTCTCATCTCTTCTTTCTACAGAAGGTTGTGAGGCACAGGCTGTGGTGCTGCGCTGCACAGCGGTGGGGATCACAGCCTGGGGGGTGTTTGGAGCCCTGGGATGTGGCACTGAGGGTCGTGGGCATAGGGGGGTGGATTGGGGAGCTCAGAGGGCTTTTCCAACCATGATGGTTCTGTTTTTAATTGTTTTTATCTTATTGTTTTAAGTGCATTTATCTTCCCTGAGGTTTAGTAGTTAGCTGTGCTGGGAGTTGCAGTGAGCTCTGCACAGCAGTGTTGCTGTGCCTCCTATCGCCAGGGTGTCCTGGAATTTCACTAATAGGAATGAGTGCATCGCTGCTGTTTGTGTTGTCCTGGAAGAACTTCCTCTTACGAAGTCTTGCTTCAGACCTGAAGATGCATTTTTGCAAGAATGCCTTTTATTTTTCTTCTTTTCTTTTTTGAAGTGTGTGAACTGTCACCTTTTAGGGATGATGGGGCGTAGGGGACACTTGGGAGTGGCTTTTTTGGCTGTTGGTGGGATTATCTTTAGGTTTTCCCCAGCTTAAACAAAAATTATATATATATATATATATTTATATGTATATAACCTCTCTCTCTCTCCATATGTATATATATATCTCCATATATGTATGGAGAGAGAGAGAGAGATAGCTGTGTGTGTGTATGTATGTATATATATAGTTTTGGGATTTGAAAGAGGCAAAAGGTTGTCATCTGCTTCTCCTACTTGCTTTGGACAGAGAAGCAATAGTAACAGAGGTAGAAAAAAGAGCCTTGTGTTACTTTAAAATGTGCAACCATTCAAAGTCTTGATAGGGCATTTTAAAATGATATGTTTAATTTGGGGAATGTTGTACACTGTAAAATAAGTTAGCCTGTCAAGTCAGCTGAAGTTTCACGGTTAGCTTTCGTCTGTGTGTTTCCTGCCTTTTTCCAGAGTAAGATGATACGTTTCTGCAGGAGGGTGTAAGTCATCCTGCATGTGGTGTCTGGGCAAGTTGTGATTAAAGGGTAGAGTTACTCTCTTTTTCTGATGATGAGATAAGTGTTCCCTTTGTTTTACTTAATTGTGTTGTGTAAAATAAAACCAAACAGTAATGTAGGGCAGTCTTAGGATTGGTACGATGGGAAAAATAGCATAATTAGAAATTTAAAACTGTCTCCGTGACAATATAAAGCACTCTGAAACACAAACTGGTGTATGCTGGAGTAGCTCATGGCTCAGTTTCCTCAACTGAGATAGGAAGGAGCATTTCTTACAACTGTCATAACATTTTTCTAAGTAGCCTGCTATAAATATTGCTACAGATATATTTATCCTGTCATCTTCATTCCAAGAGTTGCAGCAAAGTCTGGTAGAATGAAAGCAACAGGCCTGGAAAGAAACCTTCTCCCTGTGTGCCTTCTGCTGCCTTCTTCCCTACATCTCTTCCAGTTCCTATCAAATGACTCATTGCTGTAGCTTTGTGTCCGTACTTTGAAGGCACTTCATGACCCATCTTTGCTGAACTGCTGTCTTCACTGTCTATCACAAGTGTTGATACTGTGTTTTTATGTATGTTTATATACTTTTAATAGTATATATGTATTTTTTTAATGAACTTTTCTTCATTTTCCCTGCTGGTTGCAATAGGAACAGTGTGGATTTCTGTTCCGTCTTCTTCCAAAGTTTTACTTTCACTGTTCTTTTGTCCTTAAATTAAAACAAAACAAAACACCAAACCAACCAAAAACCAACAAAAAAACCCAAACCAATCCAAAACAAAACCAGAAACCAACAACAAAACCAAACCCTTGGTGCCTTGACATACCAAAGACCTGACTGTTACTTCCTTGTTGTTGTTTTCTTCCTGCCTGAGTCCATCTGCCACTTGTTTACATATTTGAATTGTGAGTTATTTGGGGTAGATAACTTCAGCTTACAACTATACTCAGAAGTAAGCTTGAAGAATCCTAGAGCATGATATGGAAGTGACAGAAGAGGGACAACTTCTAGTAACAGTTACTATTAATAATTCAGTTCCATTTTTAGTGAGCAGTTAAGTAGAAAAGCCACGTCCCATAGAACATTAAACTTGTGGTGTTCTGATAAAACAAATGCTGGCTGTAGCAATAAATAGAGAGCTAGCCAGGCTGCACTCTGAATTAACCTCAAAAAAAGCATTTCTTGTTGGTAAGACCAGCATCATTATTCCGAAAGGTAGGAGCTTGTATATGGTTTTAGATTACTTTTATTTTTGCTGTAACACACATTTAAAAGCTTAAACATATTTTCAGAAGAAAATAGTTGTTTCTGAAATAGATAAATCTTGCTGAATTACTGTCAGAAAACACTCAGCTGCCTTGTAGGTGTGCCAGATGTCTACATGAGTGTGTTTTAACTTCTGACCTTTCATAAGGGCAGTGCAGATGATTTGGGATGCACGGCCTGGCTGGAGACCTGCAGGACTTCAGGCACTGCTGTATCACTGCTACCTCAGGTTAAGGCCCTGTAGCCTAAACGTGGGCAGGGAAATGTAAAAGTTGGTTTCTGAAGCTATGGACACTGAAGAAACCTTCTGTAAATGGAAGGGCTAAGTGAGCTTTGTTTCTAAGGTGAATCAAGCTGTTACCAGCAAAGAAACCTAAAGGAGAAGAAATTTGGTTGTGGCTTTTCACATGTATCCACGTGCACACACATATCCACGTGTAGTAGGCTTGGAAACAATCGCATCAAGTATCTGTGACACTGCAGTGAAGTCATCCCACGTGTCAGCCTCTTAATAGGAAGAGTGCTGTAAATAATTGCAGCTCTGTCACATAGGTAAACATCACAGTGAAGCTGCACCCTCTTTTGTCTTACCAGAAGCTGTCCTTTGCAGAGCCACGTGTGCTGGCACTTGCTGTTGTGATTATGCTGCAGTTCACTGAACACCTCGAGCTGTTACAGCCGGCCTTGCAGCTGTAAGAAGTGGAACTCCCCTCTCCTCCCCTTGTGCTTGTTCTGGCAGAAGCCAAGCTTAAGCAACTAAACATGATTTGTGGTTTATGTTCAAGGGTTGATGGAGCTGAAGGTTGTAGCATTATAGAATTCCAGTGGGACAATTCCACTTGAGCCCTGTAGATGCTGGTGCTACTTAATTCATGAGTCTTGAGTGCTAGAGGGAGTGTAATTGTGTGGCACTGCCCTCACAGCTGCTGGGGCCGTATTTACACTTCCACATCCCCAGCTTTCCTGAAGGAGGAGCAGTGAGATGTGTGGTGTGCCTGCTGGCCAGCCAGGCTTCTGAGACGAGATCTCTGGGAAGGTTTTGGCTGGTTCTGAGCCCGATCAGCACTGCTGCCTCTACTTGAGGATGCTGAGTGACAGTGGCTGGATGGCCCCGTCTGGACACATCTGTCCCGAGACCTTTGCCTTCCTTCAGTTGTCCCGTGCAGAATGAATGCACTTAAGACTGTGGTCAGACAGATGAGGAGCCTTTCTCTTTGGACAGCTCTTCTCCTCCCTCCTCTTGGAGCAGAGATGCTAAAGGTTGCACAGAGGCATTCTGTGTACCGAGTAATTCCTCAGTATAATTTCTTTGTTATGTGGCATCTAACCTGGAATAGTTTGAATGGCTTATTTGGTAACTCTGACTTAACTTTGCTACTGGGAAAACTCATTTTGTTTGGCTCGAAGACAGTCAACAGCTCTACAGATTTATCAGATGTTAAGAAGGATGATGAGTGATGGAACAGCAAGATGCTGCTCTGTGTTTGTTTTTTGATTGTGCCAAAGCTGGCTTTGTTTATCAGTTCCTGCTGAGATGGTGACCATTTGGGGAGAGGATCTGGGAGTGAGACAGTGCTCTGTTGCCAGGCCGAGGCCCACAAGCATATTTGGGTGCCTGACCTCCATGGCAGCTGTTTGTGAAGCAGCAATGGATTTGTGCTGGAATGGAAAGGTGCACGGCTTTGTGGCTGTTCTGCATCCAGTGGTGTCTGACAAGGACTTGTCGTGGGCAGTGATAAAAGGCTGGAGCGATACAGAGTGCCATAGGAATGGCAATGTTTCCAGGTGCTGCAATGCCCCTCTCCTTTGTGTTTGCCTTGCATTTCCTTCTCCTCCCTTCCTTGAGGCTTTACCTCTCCCTGTGTGCTGCAACAAACCTCTTGTTTTATCTGGTAGATGTCAGAAAAACCTTACACTTCTCTTTGCTAGAGTCCCACTGGTTAGAGACCAGCAAGAATTCTTGTCATCTCCTTCACAAACTGCTTGTTGTTTCATTCTGGAATTGATAGATTCTAATGTCTGTGCTTTCTCAATTGTTGTAATGACTGTTGCTCTGTGTCCTTTTCCTACCCAACCTTGTCTGTAAGTTTCCTGTTCAGTTTTTGGGTTGCATACTTTTTGGTGTGAAGATCAAGTATCAAAGTAAAATCTGTGCTGGAAGAGCATTTTGGAGGTGATGTAGCGCAGCATCCTGCACAAAACAGCATCAAAGTTGGTTCAGGTTGCTCAGAACCTTGTCCAGAGGGCTTTTGAAATGCTGTGATATTGCACAACTGCGTTTCCCACTTATCAGCTGAAACGTTCTCCACATCTCTCAGGAAGGCTGCCAAACACTTGGTTAACTCTCATTTTGTTGTTTCTTCTCAATATGCCAAGCTCTTGTAGATACTGGAGCTGTCTGGCTCTTCTTATGCAGTGTTTGAAAAGGAGTGGTTTGTTTTGCTGTTGTTTTTTGTTGTTAGTTTCTTTTTTTGGAAAGCTAATTGAAAACCACTTACAAACTCTGACTTTGACTGCTTGCCTATCTTGATCAGAGATTCCACTGATCAGAGATACTGCGGTGTGTTGGTGATTGCTTCATACAGCAATCTATGAATGTTTTGGGTTGCATGGTTGAGATGTGCATCATCCTTGGCATGCAGCAAGTGCTTATTGCTAACGTGATGCTGTAAAATACTTCTAAGATCAACTGTGTTTGATATAATTGCAAAAGAAACTTGTTTACAAGTAATTAACTTTGCAGGAAAACATTTGAACGTACAAAGTGTTAAATTGAAATGGAAGGATCCTATATCCTTGAGCCCCCAAAATGAAATATGTCAGAATTCTGGTAGCAGCACTAATTGAGAAAAACAGCTCTCTGTACCTTTACTGTGCATATCTAAGAGCAGGAGTCTAAACTGGGTCACCTATAGCCAGGAAAATACTCACGTTTTTAATATCTGCTAGTAGTCTTGGGAGCTTCCTTTGGAAACGTGGCACTGAAGTAACCAGAAGGTGGTGGTGGATGGTTGGGTTTTCTTTAGGGAAATGCTTTTTATTCTGCAATGTGTCTGTTGCTGTATTAGTAAAAATTTTATGCTCAGTCTTTGAAAAATTAATAAAATTTGCTCCTAAAACTTTAATAAGTGTCGTATCTTTGAGTAGCTTTTACCCTAGATATGTCATTCTTTGTAAAATATCATATTTCTCAGACCATGAGTACAGAGGTTTGGGTTATTGCCTTCTTAAAGATATACTTGTGCCACTTTGGCAGGTTTCAAGGTATAATTAAGAAGCCCTGCTGACCCGTGAAATGTTTCAGCTATATTTTAACAGGCATAATAAAAAGTCTGTATGTTGGACTTGCTTAGAAAGTGTTCTGTTGTATGTATACCTGCTCCTTCCTTAGGCTGTGTGGTTTCTTAATAACAGTGTGGGAGCTGTGTGTCCAGACTCCTGAAGGAGTTGCAATGAATTCTGTTATGTTGGATCTAATCTCTTTTTCTTTTTTCTTTTAGGAAACACTCCTTTGCATCTTGCTGTGATGTTGGGACATAAAGGTTGGTAAAACCTTTGGTTTTGTAACTCGAGTTGTCCTGAGAATTTAGAGGCAGTACTGTTCAATTTTTCTGATTGTGATCTTGTGTTTCAAACTTGTTGCAAGTTAAGGTTTTCTGCAAAGTAGAGGCTGCCCAGATGTGAAAGAGAGAAGTCTCTAAGAAAGTTAGGGCTGCCTGTTAGGCCAAAATCAGGGAGCCAGGCAGGCGGAGGGCTGGATTGGAAGGAGAGAATGGCAGAGAAGGAGTTCTGACTGCTGGACTCCTTTGTGAGCCTGGAACAAGAGCTAGCTTCTGTCTTGTTGCAGAGTTAGAAGGACTTGGAATATCATAGAAGATTGAGAAACAAGGAACAGCTTTCAGCAGTGGAGGCAAGCACATTTGTGCCTGTGTCCTCGTGGTGTCCAAACGGGTGGGACACGCTCAGTCTGGGTAGGCAGGAGTCTTCATCCGGGCAGATCTCTGTTTTAATGCTGTTAACAGAAGGCTTATTGATTCCTTTTGTGTGATGGTGCCCTTTTTCTTCATTGCTTTCTTGGTTAATAGTTTTGCTGTGGTTGTTACTGATCTGCTCATTAGAGGTCTTGAATGACCCCTGTTAGCCTTTTCTCTGTTATGAACAAAAATGTCTTCTGGAATAAAGTGACTCTGCGAGTGGAATCGTAATCAATCCCTGCCTTCTGCATATTCCTTTCCTCCCCTGATTCAGATCTCTGCCCACTGCCTGCCTGCTTCTTTGTGTTCCAGGACTGGCTGCTCTCTGCAGGGTCCAGGACAGCCTACCAGGCTGTGCTGCCTGTTGATCCGTGATGGCTGTCACCTTTTCAGATATCCTTGGGGGACTTTTTTTTATTATTATTATTTTTTTACAGCAGCATTTCAAGGCAAAGGATTCACATTTCTATTTGAAATAGAAAGCGTCGGAGTAGGCATATTTCAGAACTGGGGAAAAAAACAACAACTTGGAATATGATTAAGTCTCCATGACAGTATTCTCCAGAATTCTTTTTCTCTACTGTAACGAGAGAAAGAATGCCTTGCTTTTGTCAAGCTGTGAGGGTCCTGCACCTGGTGTGTGGTGAGCCCAGCTCTGTAGCTGGGCTGTTAACTGCAGCAATGTCATGTCACTGGAGTACAAATGATTTTGATCAAAGATGCTTCTTTTGATACCAAGTGAGAGAAAAGAATTTATCACCCTTAATTCAGTACGCTTGAATACTTTTTCTCTTGAACTGTGGTTATTTTATGTTTCAGCTCTAGGATGAAAAGCCCTTGCTGTTCAGTGCTGTCAGATTGCTTGATTATCGTGGCACATAGCATAGCAAGGAGAGGAGAAGCAGTTCTTCCCCTTACTCCTTTTCTCTTTGGCTGCGTATTTGAGATTTCGCTTTGTAGTTTGCTCTTGGCTTCTTTGTCAGCCATCCCATGAGTAAAGCCCTTAATTACTTGGGATATTTATGGTAAGCCTTTATGTAGCTTGGCTGGAGCAAGACTATTGGTGTATGATATCAAGAACAATACCTGGTTTTACTGTTTTATTCCTGCTTGGTCTTTGATTCTCTGAGACCCCCAGGCCCTTTGCTGCCATGTCAGCCAGTCTGAATGATGCTGAGGGGCAGCTTTGATGATGCATGTGGACTGCTTGGGTGCATGTAGCAGCACTGCAGCCAGACTTTGGTGAATTGCAGGGTGAACCTGACATCCTGTTTGTTTAACTGAAAATGGGGTCTGGCTGGTAAATGCCTGTTCCACATCAGTGTTGTCATCGCTTTAGGCACTGTTTGAGCCTGCAGAAAATATGTCTGCATGTTTCTGGACAGGGTACGTAGGGCTTTTGTTTGTTTACCACAGAGGATGGGGTGTTCACCAGTAAAGCAGCTCTTCCTTTCCTAACGCCACGTTTTCCAGTGACTCATGATTTTTGCATCTTGAGTGACTGGTGAGGTTTCCTGTAACACCTGTAGGCGAAGGATCAGGAAGGCCCTCTATCTGCAGTTCCTGCCCATCCTATTCATAATGAGAGTTTCTTTAGCCTGCAGCTCCCGCTCCATGCTGCTGTATCATTGCGGATGGGTCGGGTTGATTTTAATGAGTTGTGGTGAGGAGGCTTTCCATAGTTAGAAATGGAAGGACCATTTAAAACAAGGACAGCTTATTCAAAACACAGAAATACCGAACCATTTCTTCTCTTCTGAATTTCAAGGGCAGCTCCTATCATCAGCTTTTATCCTTAGATAGAGAAAGCAATGCAAGTTGAGCTGAGACTACGCTAGGAACTGGTGTGGTGTTTATGGGATGTTGGTGTGCTCTGATAGCACAGCACACACGTGCCAAGAGGCCAGGAGAGCATCAGGGCCTGCTTTGATGCGTGGGCAAACAATGCAGTGCGTGGCAAGTGGAGCTCTGTGCTGTTGTGCTTTATGGAGGCACTCTGCTAATCCTAGGGTAACTTGCTGCACAGCATGTTATGCACATGTTCTAACATTTCAGAGGTAGACATTACACAGAGGTGATTAAACAAGCATTTTAAAGTATTTTTTACATAGATGAGTGAGTGTGTATTCACAACAGTGCATCTTTATAAAAAGCACAAGGAAATGTCTTTCAGTGGTAATGCAATTGGTTGTTGATTTCTAATGATGTTTTCAGTGCTCATATTTAATAGGAAAATGCAATAAATAATCTCATGAATGTTTTCAAAAATTATTTATAGCTTGAGTTCATAATTTGGATGTGTTCTGATGGTGCTTAGTATATTGAATATCTACTAGTTGTTTTATTCTTGTTTCCGTTAGTTTCCTCTGTCATGAATTATGTAATTGCAATACCCATTGTGTTTACTGACAGTAATTACTGCTGCTTTGTTACAGAATGTGCCCACTTGCTTTTAGCCCACAATGCTCCAGTAAAGGTGAAAAATGCTCAGGGATGGAGCCCTCTTGCAGAAGCCATCAGCTATGGAGACAGACAAATGAGTAAGATCATTGCTGAAGAACCTTCTGCATCACATTCAGCAATATACACACATACCATGTGTCTTTTTACACGTGTATACATGTGTTAGTAAATATCTTGACATAATCAAATGCTTTATGTCATAAGCAGTTTCTGAAGCTTTTCTTCCTACTGTGATCACATTGAATTGTTTATAATTACTGTAACTTGAAGTGCATTACTCCAAAGTGATGAAATGCTTTATTAACAGCAATTATTTCTCATTTTTAAAAAATCTGTTGCATGACAGCACTAAGCTGCAGTTTGCCAAGCAGCACAGCTTTACCTTGTGTTTAACCTCTGTTCAGTTACAGCACTCCTAAGGAAGCTTAAACAGCAGTCCAGGGAAAGTGTTGAAGAAAAGCGACCTCGATTATTAAAAGCCCTGAAAGAGGTAGGTAAATTGAAGGCAGCTTTGTTGGCAAAAACCAGATTGTGATAGAAACTGGTAGCTTTTGTTCGTATAGTAAGGATGCTTTAGCAAACTGTAAAAGAAAAAAAGCTTTTTGTCCATGCCAAGGGCTCACAGAACGGTGTGCATTCCTAAGATGCTCCCCCTCAAATTCTAAAATTCAGGCAGAGGAAAGCCTTGGATAAGAGAGCCCTTTCTGCCATCTTTTCAACCTGAAAGTCAAAGAATGTGTTTTTAATCTGTGCTTATTTCATTGGCTTTCTAAGGCTTCCTTAAATCTCAGCCTGGCGAAGAAGTTGCTGTTGCATCCTGTCACCAATCACCAATGATGGTTTTTTTGTTTGTTTAATGCTTGGTAAAGAAAGGGAGCTTTTTCTAAGCTTAGTTCTCCCTCTGCATGCAGCAGCCAGTTTTTCTTGAGCACAGTCAAACAATTGTCAGTACTGATGATTGAAAGTGTATTTCTAGAGTATAAATTGGAGGCTGTGTACGTGGATGCTGGTAGGTGAAACCTCATCCATTGATTCAGAGAATGCAGTTAGATGTGGTCAGTCAGAGCAAACATAGAGCTCTGTAGGCTTTTAAAGTTGGGATTTACAATTTATTTTGTTCACAGCTTAATAGCTGTGTAACTTTTTTCCAGAAAAAATCATTAAAGATTAGTAGCTTAAATGAAGCACACGTTTAGCATTACTGATTCTGCTGTTGGTGAAGCTTCAGAAATGGTGAATTTCAATTGAAGTTCAATTACTTGCATCAGAGGGGGGAAAAGGAATTTTTTTTTTTTGGCAAAACACAAACTTTGCTTAACTTCCAGCACGTTTCACAGTTGACCAAAATGTCAATGTATTCTTTTCATCTCAGCTAGGTGACTTCTATCTAGAGCTTCACTGGGATTTTCAAAGTTGGGGTAAGTGACTGCATATCCCTTTTCATTGGGAGATAATATTATCAGGCCTCCACACACTGTTCTCTCAAGCTGCAGTTTGTTTCCAGTTTGTATTTTGGAAAACTCATAATCGTGTTGTAAACGTTGAAGTGCAAGTAAAGGACAGACACTTTTTTTTTCTGAATTATTTTTAATGACTTTTTCTAGTTCAATTCTGTAATCTAGGCACACGATATGAGATGGGGAGGGGAGCAAGCTGTTAAAGAATATGGTTGTAAGAACAAAATGTTATAATGCCTTAATCTGGTCATCTGGTGTCACTGCAGAGCAGTGGTTTGTGCAGTTCTGCTGAGTGACAGGACTTGTGGCATTCAATTGCTTGGCACCAGCTTGCAGTGGTCGTCTTCTCCAGCAGTGTCACCATGCAGGGGGCATTCCTCTGCCTGCATCATTCCTGTGTTTGGGGTACTCTCCTGGGGGGAGAAAGGCCCTGAGCAGCGTGTTGGTGCTGACCATTGGTGCTCTGAGCGAGCTCAGTTCTGCACGTGGTCTCAGTTCTTCGTGTTGCCGTTTGAAGAAGGTGCTGAAAAGCCATTATTTGATCTTATTGCAGTAAATCTGGCTTTTTAAAATAAGCACAGCTGTGGGCTCACGTGTCTGGCTTGTAACACTGGGCTGGCTCTCAGTTCCTCTGGTAATTCAATGTTTCCTTAGGTTTTAAACCTTAGTGCTTTGGATTTGTCTTCTGCTTGTCTGTGTTCTGTTTAATTGTGGCTGGGCTTTCAGCTGGCATAATATTCAAATAAAATATCCAACTGCAGAATTAAAACTCCTGGCAGCTAGAAGACAAGTTATTAGAACTCACAAATGGTTTAGTTCATTTAAAATGAGGAGGCTTCAAGTTTTGTTTTGCTGGAGATATTCTGTACAAGGGTGTATCAGTCCTGCAGTTAGTTAATAGACAAGCATGACGTTAGTGTGCTTGTGCTGAGATGATGATGGAAAATGGATATGCTGTGTTTCTATATTACAACACATTGAAATTCAAGGTGGGGTGCAGTTTTACTCAAAGTACCTTGCAGAGAAACCTCGTTGTTCTAATTGTCCAATCTCTCTACCTACTTCTAGTGCCTTTACTCTCCCGAATTCTGCCTTCTGATGCATGTAAAATACACAAACAAGGTATCAATATCAGGTAAGCACTGATCTGCCACTTGAGTTTACTGAGTCACAGATGTCTGCATGTTGATGGGAACGCTGGTTTCAGTGTGGTCTGGAAGTGATTGCTTGCAAATGCTTGTGAAACACTGGTGTGTTGGTACCTAGGTGCTTGGAGGCAGGAAGTGCTTTCATCTACAGTCTTTTCCACCATTAGTTTGAAGTTAGCTTTAATTCTCGAGTCACTTCACAGAAAGCAAACCCAGTTCTGGCTGGTAGATAGAGGCTTTGGTGCAGTTTGGCAATGATTTGATGGAAAAACAGGAATTTGATATCTGAAAATTCGCATTACAAGTGTAAGTGAGCTTTCAGTATTTTGTGGAGAAATCTTGCTGCTCCAGGAGGTGTAGTAAGAAGAGTGATACAGTTTCTCTGTTTAAAATGCTGGCTGCGAAGGATTCACAGATTCCTGGACATCTGCTGAGCCTGGCTGTTCAGCTGCCCTGGGTTGTGATTTTGGGCTCAGGTGTCTGTTTTGGTTCCTAAACTTTAACGAGGGAAAATACAGTTATGATTCAGAAGATCATGGACGTTTTGTTCTCGTACTACAGCTTTTTGGCATAGATATGTGAACTTAGCTTAGACTTGAGTCCATTGAGACCATTTATTTTCCTTCTCATTTCTCCTGCTTGCACAGAGGGGAGTTGTGAGGCTCCAAGGATGTAACTGCAGATTCTTTCATTAATTTAGAGGCCAATACATGATGAGTATTAAGCAACCACCCTTTAGAAGTGAAGTGGCTACTGAATTCAGGCTCTTTAACCAACTTCACAAAGAAGGAAATATTCTAGCAATAATACCTGTTAGTTGCTGGAGAGATCTTTGTTCTTGGCTCCAGCTCTTGATTTCCAGCTCAGCAGCAGCATTTCTTTTCTGTTGGTGAGAGAAAAGAAGAACAACAGTAACTGAGATGTTTCAAATGGGGATGGAGGCCATTTCTTAGTCCTCTTTGTAACTGCAGCCACGTCTTACCAGGGCTACTCAGCTGTTTGTTGCAGGGAGTAGTTACGTTTCTCATTGTGTAGCACACACTGGCTACATAATTTCTGTCACTTCCTTCTGCTGTTTTTCTTTAGAAAGCATGGAGTGTATGTAGTGGATGCTAAAAATATGATAGGAAGGTATAGGTGGCACTTCTATGAAGATGGCATAAAAATAGGCCATGTTCTCATAGAATCCTTAGAGGCCTCTGAGGGCCATCCAGTCCAGCTCCCCATCCAGCTCCATGGTAAGAGTAAGGTGACACCTATTGAGTGTTTCTTACCCAATTTTTATTTCTGTATCCAGGCTTAAATAACGGCATATTCTATGAAGACTTGAACCTTAACTTGTTTGTGCCAATACATAAATAATAATAGTAATCAAAGGCTTCTCCTTGAAAGCAGAGCTTACAGTCAATACGTGTGAGTGCTTATGGGTAACTTCTTTTAATGTTCTGGTGTATTTTCACAGGCTGGACACAACTCTGATAGATTTTACTGACATGAAGTGCCAACGAGGGGATTTAAGCTTCATTTTTAATGGTGATGCAGCACCCTCTGAATCTTTTGTAGTTTTAGACAATGAGCAAAAAGTTTACCAGCGAATACATCACGAGGTAAGGATCTGTGCAACACCTCAACCCTTTACTTCCCATCAGCAGACTGAATTTACAGCAGGGTGTGCCTTTGAGAAAGACCCAAACTCCAAAGAAATGCAAACTACAGTTTTGTTCAGCTGATACAAGCTTATGAGCTTTTATTTTGAAAAACTGCTTGTTAATGCGAGCTAAGAAATCGGAGAGAAATAGAATTCAAATCTGCTGGAAAATACAGTGTCATCCTGGGCAGATGAATATATTTCAGAGTTTGAAGCATTCTGCTTATAGTATTTCCTGTGGGCATAATTCAGGGCTTCCTCAAGTGGAGTTTTCACACTTGCCTGCCATTGCTTTGCCCCCATTTACACAAATGCCCCCATTTGGCTTTGACCCAAACTGGTCACTCTGTGGCCAGTTTGGTTGTTAACAGCGCAAGGGTCTTACTGGGAGGGCCTGCTGTGTCTGGTCAGGCTTGTGTTTATAGCTCTGTCTACCAGTCACTTCAGCAGGTGGGTTTATATGAAGGGTTTGGCTGGTGGTGAGACTCTGGGTAAATCACACTTGGACACTTCGTTTGCATTAAGATTTAGAATCATAGAATCATAGAATCACCAAGGTTGGAAAACACCTAAAAGCTCATCCAGTCCAACCGTTCTCCTATTCCCAATAGCTCCTACTAAACCATGTCCCTCAACACAACATCCAGCCTTTCCTTGAACACCCCCAGGGTCGGTGACTCCACCACCTCCCTGGGCATCCATCCCAGTGCCTGACCACCCTTTCTGAAAAGTAATACTTCCTCATTTAAGCTGAAATGATTTGGTGAGCAGCTGGTATCAGAGCTTCCACAAAACAGTTTGGAAGTTCAAGTAGTGCTGGTTGTGGGGAAAGTGCCAAAGGAATATGTTTATTGATTTTCATTTTCTTAAAATTATTTATTAAAAAAAAAAAAAAAAAAGATTGGTCATGATCATTAAATTCTGTGCCGTGCTTGGTAATCTTCCTTCCAGGAATCTGAGATGGAAACAGAGGAAGAGGTTGACATTTTGATGAGCAGTGATATTTACTCAGCAACGTTATCAACCAAATCGATCACCTTCACACGTGCCCAAACGGGGTGGCTTTTTCGGGAAGACAAAACAGTAAGCCAAAGGAAGTTGTCAGGCTGGCATTGCTGAAGGCAAAATGGTGCAGGCAGCCGTGTCATAATGTGGTTGGGAAGAAAGGAGGAGTGAAAGGATCAGATGTTCGGGGTGGAGTAGAAAAGTGGCTTCCCCTGTCCCCACAGTTGTCACTAGTTTGACACAGCGTGTCTTGTGGGCTGCCTGCATCAGAGAATGGTGGCTTGGAAAAAATAGCCAACTACAGCTGAAGTGTGTGTGGAGAAACACTGCTGGAAATGGCACTACGTAGAGAATGGAAAGTCATCCCAGGGTTTATGTAAGAATTCTGTATGTCCCTGTGTCTGTGGAGGGCAGGAGGATGAAAGCATTCTGGCCACAGTTTGCTTTGCCCGTTCCTTCCAGTGTTGCCAGTGTGAGGCACAAGCTCTCAGGGGTGAGAACACTGAAACTTCTGCCTTGTCATGTAGGAAGTTGCTTTTTTGAGATGACTCTGAAGGATTCTGTATTGACTTGGATGTCAGGTAGTGCCATTTACCACAGCTTTTCTGCTGAGCTGGTTTTTCAGAGCTCTTTCCTTTTGTGAAATCAGAAATCTATATTCTAAGTGTGTAAAATACCATGGGTGTAAGTTACCATTTAGCACAACTTAGTGGAGGGGCTTTTAGTGGGATTTCCCTTGGCCACTCTCAGATTCTGAAGCAGTCTTTTCTCCTTTAGTTTCCATTGATGTAAAATACCAATTACTGGGGGAATTACTCTGTACTGTATGTAGGTTGGGGGGAGTGTATGATGAGAGTTCACATGGGGAGATGTGTAAGTTTACATTGAAACATTTCAATCCTGGACTCACCATACTGCAATTAATTGTATATAGAAGACTTTAAGTGGTTTTATTTGATCTTCTGTGATTCTCCAATGTCCAATTCCTTTCTTCTAGGAAAGGGTAGGGAACTTTTTGGCAGATTTCTACCTGGTGAATGGACTTGTATTAGAATCAAGAAAAAGAAGAGAACATCTCAGTGAGGAGGATATTCTTCGAAATAAAGCTATCATGGAGAGCCTGAGTAAAGGTGGCAACTTAATGGAACAAAACTTTGAGGTATACTTACATCATTCTTCTCACTGTGTGAATTGTTGTCAGGATAAATGCAGCAAGATTAATAAATAATATCCTTGTTCCATTCTGAGTGTCATAATTTTAAAATAATATGACCTTTAATGCATTCCTGCTCATCTGTTTGTGTACTGTGCTGATTAGTGCACGTACTGAGAATTTCTTTTCTTGAATACTTCAGTCTTAATTTGTCTGTTAATACAGGGGATGCTTTTAGCTGTGGCAAATCACTTCAATTTCGTTAGACCAAATATTTATTGTCTCGAATGCCCTTCCTGGTTCTTCTTTCAATTACGTTCTCATTTAGCTTCATTAAAACGGATTAAGCCTGTTATTATCACCATGAAGTTGAGAGCTATTCAGAATGAGCCAGACATCATCTGGGAACACGCAGACGAGCCTTTTAAGAAGGGCTGATTTATTTCTGTATGAGCTCGTGCTCTATTACTTGCCATTCAGGCACTTGAATTAACTGATGAGCTGATGTGCCGCACCAGCCAGCGTCTGCATGCAGTGCTGTCTGAGGCCTGGTAGCTAAATGGAGTCTGTGCAAGGAGGAGTAAGAGATAGAAAAGCCACGTGAAGTTTCAGCTGCAAACTGAGTGCATCTTTTGAATAGTAAAACTGTAAGAGAACGTCAGGAAAGATCAACTGCTAAGATGTGTTTCTCTGAACAGCCGGTCAGACGACAATCCCTTACTCCACCATCACCCAATACCATTACATGGGAGGAGTACATATCTGCCGAAAATGGAAAGTAAGTAGTTTGTTTTATTTCCATGGACAGCCTTAGCTGATTGGCGCCCACTGCTTCGTGGGTTCTTTGTGGTTTGTAGCTGTCAAGGAGCAGGGGGATCTTGCTTTTCACTGCTGAGATACTTAGTGTTCTTCTGTAGACTGGAGAAACGGACAGCAGCTCACGTAAGCAAGGTTATTCCATTGGCTGCAGATGAAAATATGCACGTAGGCACATGCCTACATCTTGGAATTCCAACTTATTGTGAATACAGACCTTTCAGTGATGTTTTTAAGGGAAGATTTCCTGTCAGACTCATTTCTGTAACTTGCTGATCTTTTCTTAACGATGGCAATAATCCTCCATATTTAAAGGAACAGCTTAGGACTTAATGAGAGTCAGTGTACAAAAATGCTCGTTTCTGGAATGCAGTGGCATACAGAACTCCTTGTACCAGCCAGGTTTGTGCAAGGTGCTCTCCTCTGGGTGCAGCAGGCAGTTACATTTTCGTTTCAGTTATAGCAGCTTGGTTTGTAATAGATCCAAGCAGTTGAGTTTACTGCCAGGACTTGAATGTTATCCAGCTCTGCTGCATATGGAAGGACCCAAAAGGAAATGGTAGAAGCTGGGCTCCACAGATGCTATAGGTTCTCCTGTAGTCAGATGTTACCAGGGAAGATACTATTACAGTACAGGCTTACTATAAGGGCACTTGGATTCTTTTTGCTGGTTTTCTACTTTATGTATTTGAAATAGAATAAATGTTCAAGCACAGTAAGTAGGTTATGCTGGAACAGCACAGGAGGACGTGTGTGTCTATGTTAATAAAAATCCAGTCATCAATTACCAGAAGGGAGTTCAGTGGAAAATGTAGGTTTCTATATTGGAGGACAGTAAGATTTGTTACCTTCTGCCTATTCTATTCCAGAATTGTTTTCTGTTCTGTGTTTGCCATTATTGTCCTCTGGGGACAGAAGGGTGACTTCTTTCCTTCCTCAGAGATTGCTTCCAGCTTAAACTGTGAAACAAACTTAGTGCTTTCCAGTTCAGTTTGATACTTTGCTCACACACAGGCTATTTTAATTAATGCCTGCAACCAACTGGTTTGTGTATTTCCAGCTAATGGTCAGGTCTTTCTGTAGTGATTATTAATAGAATGTTCACATGGAGTAACTTGATTGTTTTCTTTTCCCTGATTCTGGCTTGTCTCCATGGTTAGCAGAGCTCACAGTGATCTCAATTCAGATGGCTTCCAACTCATGTTCACTATGCACAGCCTCTGTTTTATTGTAGAGGTTCCTTACTGGGGTTTTCAAAACCGAGTCTTAATTCTTTTCTTTAAAGCTAAAGTTGTAATGAGGGGGGGGAACCTGACTTTGTCCTCCTCCCTTCCCCTTTGCAGAGCTCCTCATCTGGGTAGAGAACTGGTCTGCAAAGAAAGCAAGAAAACCTTTAAAGCAACAATAGCGATGAGCCAGGAATTTCCTCTAGGGATCGAATCGTAAGTGTGACTCGTTGGCTCTGGGTGCTCCTTCATGTATCAGGTGTGGCAGCCTGCCTGCGAGCTGCAGAGTTCTGCCAGTGCTCAGATTTGAGATGGCAGCAGTTTGGAAGCAGTGAGCAAGTCGTGTCGTTAGGGAGGTGAGCTGTGGCCGTTAGAGCTCACTGTGTGCCTGCTCTTGGCGAGGCAAAGCAGCTGTCTCGTGTGACGAGACCTGAGCTGTGAGCAGCTGTGTGGTTAACTTGGGCAGCACTCATGTGTCTGATTCTGCACAGTACTAAAGCCTTTTTGCCCCTGGCAAGTTTCAGCACGACTATATGTTCTCTAAATCCATGCACAACCGTGTCAAAATCCTTATCTTTGGAGGAGAGGCTGTGGGGCTTCGTGCTTCAGTGTCTTTTGTGGAATGAGGACAAGAGACCCATAGCTGGGGGTTCATTTGCTCTCATACAGCAACGCAGTGTGGGTCTCCACAGTCTGAAAGTGGCAGTGCTGACATTGGAGCTCTAGGGGCACACAGCAGGCACGGTGCAGTTTTTCAGATCCCTTTACTCACTTTGCTCTCTGGGTTATTTTGTGAAATGATTTGTGATGATGTTCATTCTCCCTTTCAGATTATTGAATGTTTTAGAAGTAATTGCACCCTTCAAGCACTTTAACAAACTTAGAGAATTTGTTCAAATGAAGCTTCCACCAGGCTTTCCTGTAAAATTAGGTAAGGTTGCGCTCACAACATTTATGGCTTTGTTTTCCAGAAATGTCTGTGCTCATTCATGCAGTGTGCTCAGGAGTCCTGCTGAGTTCTGGAGAAGAACTCTTACATAACAGAGCTTGTTGCTGTACGTGTCAGGGGAACGTGGTTATGTTCCTGCAAGGAATGTTTGGTTTGAAAGAGACAATCTGAAGCTCAGAGGAGATCAGTGCCAGCAGGAGTCCAGCTCTGTGACTTACATTTTCCTGATGCTGGAAGGCCTTCATTCTTAGAAGAGCAGATAAGCTGAAGTTTCCTTGCATTAAAGGGTGGTCTTAGCCATGAGATAGGAACTTGATAGCATTTATTATTTTGTTTTCCTCAAGTATTATTGGTGATGTACTGGAGGTGAATGGAAGCCAAGCCATTACCTTTGCTACCAAATGGAAGCATGTAAAACAACTTACTCGTGGGTGTCGATGATTATGATTATTATCCTAGGATAATCTATCAAAAAGTAACAGTACATTTTGTGAGTGTTACAGGACTTCTTGCCTGCCAGTAAGCTGTGTAAGCTTGGATATTCTGAGCAGATGACGTTCCACATCCCATTGCAATAGCACAGTTCTGTTTAGAGACCGAGCTGTGAATTTTGCTTTCAGTTGCTTCAAGGGTAATCCCAGTCTAGTAAGGGTAATTCTTAAATATTCGACCTCAGTGTAACGTTTGCTCTAAAGTGGCCTTTTTCATTTTAAAATGCTCACTTGTACAGGTGGGTTTGCTCAACTTTCACGTTATCTCAACCCAGGAGTTCCTGCACTTGTCTGTCCCATTTCCTCCCCTCTGACTGCAGTGGCAGTGAGCAGACAGCTGTGCTCAGTTGTGTGCCAGGTTACACAGCAGCGGCACTGCAAGGTTATCTTACCTGGCATCACCTGTAGCCTCACAGATCAGTCTGTGTGCTTGCAGCACCTTCATTTCCACGTTATGATTCTGCAGTGTGAAAGGAAAGCCCTTGAATTGATTGCATTACCCAACTCAGTGAAAACCTGTTGATGTTTCCCTGCTCAGGGTATTGGAGCATCTTCTGCAATAACGTTCTTCTGAAGTACCTCTTTGGTGTTTCTTTTTTAAGGAGCTTAGGATTGCCATTGTGTAAAATCTTAAACTTCTACATGATAAGCAGGCCTGAACTTAAAAACCATTAAATCACTGTTGGTAATCACTGGAAAGCCTTTATTTCTCTGATCTGCACTGTGCCGTTGTGCTTCCTATCCAGATATTCCTGTGTTTCCCACCATCACAGCCACTGTGACTTTTCAGGAGTTCCGTTACGACGAATTTGATGAATCCATCTTCACGATTCCTGATGACTACAAGGAGGACCCCAGCCGCTTCCCTGATCTCTAATTAAACTGGAAGGTTAATGGTGAATAACAAAGTAACAATACCAGCGTACCACAGCGAAAGCAAATGGATGCAAATAGCCCACGGATATAGACAGAGAAGTGGGTGACAAGGGAAAGGGATGAACTCACTAATCCAGAAGAAAAGGGAATGTGCATCAAATGACTGATCTACTGACACTGTCGTGGGCATCTAATCTAGTTCCTGATGACAGCAAGTCTCCTGATGTGTCCTTCACACGTTCATACATCCAGTGCTGCAGGCGAGGTCGTCTGCCGCCTCGGTGGCCCTGAGGATGCTCAACAGCTGTGAGGACTGTCATTTGTTTTTAAATTTTTTTACATTTCTTGTTGATACAGAAAGCACTCTTGGACCATAGCGTAAAGGTTGGAATGTCTTAGCTGCATATTCGTCCTTTCCAACGTCCCACCCTACTTAAAGATGACCATATTATATTCTTTCAAGCTTTGTTTTCAAGAAGTGTAAACTATGTATCATTCTGTATACTTCAGTACTCTGAATGTTAGCTGAGCGTAAGTTAGGAGGAACGCGTTTTCTGTAGCCGAATGAACCAAATGGTAACCATTAAACGATTGCATTTTCCTACTGCAATATACTTCAGAAACAGCATTTGCTCTGCAGGGAACGAGGTGCCTCCCGCAGCCCCTCAGCGCAGCCCCTCGGCGCAGCCATTCTGGTGCTACCCGTGTCTCTCCAAGCGTTCATTTTCTCACAGGGCTGGTTGTTCATTTTCCTTCCGTTGGCTCTGCACAGCAGTTCCCTGTGACTGGCTTGGCCGTCCTCTCCGTGTCCGTGATGCTGTGCTGATTAGCGAGCGTGGAAGTTCACGAGCTAGCAAGTATCCCCTTCTTTCTGCTCCTTTCCCACTCACCGAGGAGACTTGCTCCATGATGGGCCGACGTCAGCAGGCGCTGCAAAGCAGGGCTGCGTGCGAGGAGCTCTGAGAACAAGAGGCTCAAGCATCAAGTCTTGTATGAGAAAAGGCTTTCCTTGAAGTTAGTTGAATTGTGGTGCACACTGAATAGGGCTCAGTGGAGGATTTTGTTGGCAAATGCTTACAATGTTTCTAAATTAATTTCTTCCTCTTAGTGGTTTTAATAGATGGGAGTTCCAGTGCTCTGCCTTCTCGAGCTTATTCTCATTCCAAGTGGTTCCAGTCTCCTAATTTGACAGTAATCCAGCTTTCGGTTTGTTAGAAAGAATCTGTGCAAAAGGCTAATGGTGCTATTTGTTTGTATTAAGAGATTTAGATTAAAGTGCTGTGGTGTAATTGTACAAAAATGTAAATATTTTGAAGATTATATTCTTTGTGCACTGTAGTTAAAACTTTTTCTGGAAGTCAATAGAGGTAAGTTTCAAAACTTAGTACAAAAAGCCCCACGGCTGCTTAGTGGAGGTGCCGACCCGGCTCCCCGTGCAGGTGGTGAATGGCTTCTCTCCTCACAAGGCAATAACAGCTCGTCAGGCACAGCCGTGGGCCTGGAGCTGCGTGTGGAGGAGGCTTCCGAGCTGCTGGCATCCGTACCAACGCAGCAGTGCTCCAGGAGGTGCAGAGCCTGCTGGCATGGAGTCCGGCTGAAGCGCTGTCAGCAGCACACGGGGCAGCTGGAAATAGGGAGCAGGGCTGACCCTCGTCCCGTCGCTGTGAGCCCTGGGCTCTGCCAGCTGGGTGCTGCTCACGGAACGACTGAGGCGCTGCAGCGGTTCGGTATCCAAAGGAAAAGAGGGGAAAAGGGAGATGGATGACGGTCACTGTTCAGTACTGTATCTGTAGCAGATGTTGGGCATTCAGGGGGAATGATATTACTTGTTCTTCCAAGTAATGATGAATTCCTTGCAGTGTTTTACATCTGTGGTACAAACCAACAGCAAACTGAGCTGAGATCCACGCTGCTGAACGCATGGAGGGGCCGATGCCGCAGCCTGTGCAGGAGGGCCGTGTGTCAGTGGGGCCACGCGCTGCGTTCCCCCATTGCTGTGGCCTCCAGGTGTCCAACACCAAGCATGTTGCTGGGGGAGGTGCTGCTGGTCAGGTTTGGGGCAGGTGTGGAGCTGGGGTGGCTGTGGGTGCTGCACAGCAATGAGTTGCTGAGAAATTTCAGCGGATGCAGAAAAATGTTACTGCGTAAAAAGTGAATGTCAGAATCTTTTTTTTTTTCTCTGCAGTATCACAGGGCAGGAGCTGTGTGTTCTGTGTTATTCGTGTCTCCAGATATTCCAGAGTAGTGCAGAGCTCGCTGGCACAGGAAGGGGCCCACAGAACCAGGGTTGGGTGTTTGAGGAGATGCTGCAGCTGCAGCGGATTCAAGATGTGAACAAAAACAAATACTTTCAGAGTAGCCTTGTGTGGGAAGGCAGGTCCTGGGCATCCCTGTGCATAGAAGAGGCAGTGCTGACTGCTCATGGTGGTGAGGTTTGGGCAGCGTCAGTGCTTTCCTGAGCTCTGGCTGCAGATCTGCTAGCTCTGGTTTCTTAACCTTTGTGATTATACAGTACCTTGAGGTTCGCAGGAGCTGTTTGTAGTGGTGGCTGTGTTAGGGTTTGCCCCGATGTGGGTTGGACACAGATTTTGTTGAGGGAAGTCCCTCTGTCACTGCAGTGAATGCACCTGGCTGCTTTTCTTAGCCTGAAGCTGAGGGAGCTGACTCCATCCGCTTCTCTTCTCCACCTGTGACTGCCCTTAGATTCCTGTGTCACCCTCGTGAAGTAAGAACTGCTGAACTGTTTCTCGGTGCATTTCCTCCCAGCGTTTGGTGATGTGTTTTCTATCCAAGACATTCCTGGCCATGAGTGGCAGGGCGCAGTGAGCTTTATGGGCGCTGCTCCGTCCCAGCAGTGAGGCACAGCCCCGTGCCGCGGGTGCGGCGGTGCTGGGGCACTTCTCCAGCAGGGGCTGCACCCGCACTCATTGCAACGTTTGATCTAATCGGTGTTTTGCTCGGGAGGCCTCTGGCGCTGACGCAGTGAGTGGCATTGCAGTGAGTGGCATTGCAGTGAGTGGCATTGCAGTGAGTGGCATTGCAGAGCTCTGCTCCGCTGGGCCGGCGCTGCTGGGGGTGAAACAGTTGTGGTCTGCACAGAGCTGTGCTGTGGGCAGTGGTGCCCTGCTTGTGATCTCCTGTTTGGAATTCTGGAAAATTACCTTTTGTAGCAGGATGGATCCAGCAGAGCTTCATTTGTTTCCCTCCACTTTAAGGCCCAGTTGGGCATTAAGGAAGCTGTGGTCCCCTTTAGAATGAATGCATATCATGGTGGTCTCACAGCACGCAGCCCAGCACTGCTGCTGCACCCAGGTCCTCAGCAGAGCACGGCGCTGAGCAGCGTGCTGGGGGGGAAGGCTCTGCAGCCCTGCTGTGAGCTCCACCTCGCCGTGCTCCTCTCTGATCTCAACGCTGCTTTTTTACGATGGCTGTGAGACGTTTTTATGATCATCTTCAAAGGCGGCCACTGATTTTGGTAAACTGAAACAAGAAATCGTGGCAGACGAATTCTAAGGGGTTGTTTCTTCACCAAACCGTTCCGCTGGTCTTCCAAAACACTGCTTTACTTTGTGGCAAAGGGAACGGGGCGTTTTCTTTTCCCTTCGGAGGAGCTGCTGTTCCAATCTCTGCACTCACTTCGCTGTGGTTCTTGGTTTATGTGTTGAAATGATTTGTTACAGAACCCTCTGGACGTATTTGTGCTGGAAACCCACGTGGTTGATATTCAAAGCAACCGTCCATCTTTTTACACGTGTTTGTTCTTTGGTTTGTAATTCACGCCAGGATAACTGCGTTATTTAATCTGTATTAACAAATTTCCTGTAATGCTGCAGTTTCGCATTTATTTTCCTTACAATTTGTAATTACCATGGAACCAATGTCACGTTTTTGCTTTTTACTGGCCGTCCGGTCCATGTTTTTAACTTCCCTTCACTAATAGTACTTTTTTGTTGTATCATTTGTTAGAATAAAGACCAAAACATGCTGTTTGATTCTGAACTGCTCAACACGTGGACGCGGCCTTTAACTCTCCCCTCGTGGCGCTGTGCGGGCCGGGCAGTTTGGAGCAACGAGGCGATGTGAGGAGGAATTTTGCCCCATCCTGGTTGGATTTTAAATAAAATCCTCCGTTTTTCATCTAGGATCGTTTGTCACCATTTGTAGAGCTTTGAAATGTTACTGACGGCCTTGTGCACAGTGCAGGAGCAGCAGTGGTGGAACCTGGAGCAAAGCTTGCAGCATTCCTGGGGCAAAGGAGCCGGCAGAGGGGACCTTGCAGCTTCACTGATTGGTGTTCAATAATGACGTGAGTTTTATCTCCCAAGTCCAGAGCTGCACCCACAGTGAGATGTGACAGCAGCTCTCCTGGGGCCCGCGGTTCTGAGACAGCTGACTCCTACCCTCCATTTATCAGAGGTAAATCTCTCGTGTTTAGAGAACACCGAAGTGCTTCCAACAGTAAAATCGTGGATTTGGGTCAGCTGTGCACATGTAGGCTTAGCAGTTGTGTTGTAGCAACAAAAGCTGTGTTGTACCTACAAGCCTGACTTCAGCTACAGCCATAAAGCCAAGCACATTCAGGCTAAAGTGGATGTGGCAGCACGTGCTGTTCTGCCAGGCCTGGCCCTTCAGGTAGAGGGTTGGTGACAGTGAACGTAGGGCAGAGCAACACCTTCAGCCCTAGTGTGGAAGACATGGAAGCAGAATGTCTGGCTTCAGGAGACAGGAGGGGTCTAAAGCAGGACAAAACTTCCTCCATCTACATTGCAGTATGTAACACAACTCACACTAATTCCAAACCGAACAGCACTGAGGAACCGTGTCAGCATGCAGCCCAACTGCAACAAAATGATGACTTCTGTTTTGTTTCGTTTTAGGGGAAAAGCTGTCAGTCAGAGAGAACACAGACCTCCCCTAGGCCTTCCTGGTGATGGCATGCAAGCAGAACAGCCAGGCTGCTAGGAATGGGTGAAGGCTGATGAAATTCTGCAATAGCCCATGTAAGTCCGCTGCATAAACATCAGTGAATCCCATTTGGTGCTAAAAAATCTATTATTTCTGCCACTGGCGTTCTTACAATAAAAGCTACTTAAATATTTAACATAGTGCAGGATTTAACAGCTGCAACCACGACCAGCCACCACAGGTACTTTGGTTCCCAGCTGTTGTTTTCCAAGCACGTTCAGTTTGCCGTAAATGAAGCTTTTCTCTGCAAACAGAAATGGGAGAAAAGCAAGGAGGGGTTTTCGCTCACCCTTCAGCTCATAATTAGTGCCCTTGGTACCCGGTTCTTTTATCTGTGACTGAGCCAACAGCTATGGGCAGCTGCCTCCACATGCACACATTGCTGCGCAGTTCTCTGTGCAATTTTAAGTGGTAAAAAAAACAGTGCTGCAAGTTCCTACTGTGAGTTAAAGCCACCTCTAGGAATGCCAGGGCAGCAGAAGCCGCTACTCAGTGAGGGTTGAACTAATTAAGTAATGCAGAGACTATCAGAGCACCCGGAAACCTCATCTCTAGAGGCAGGAGATCTTATTTTCAGCGATAATTATTCCACTTAAATCACTAAAATGAAATTACTGGGCGCTGTGTGAGAGCTGGCACTCGGCTGCAGGGCACAGAAGGGCAGCAGAGGCCCAAGCACTGCAGGAGCTGGCAGCATTGGACTCTGAGAGGGGAGCACTGCCCCAAGCTGCCCCTGCAGCACATGTGGCATCCCATCTCAGCCCCGTGCCACTCAAAGCCAGGCAGCCGCCCCACTTCCATGGGAGGCAGTGAAACATCTCAGCCTCAGCAAACAGCCCTGGGTTCTCCAGCTGGTGCCGTGGGGCTCAGGCAGCCTGAGGATACAGCACAGAGGAGACACTTTGCTATAGGCTGAGCTGCAAGCCGTAAGACCGTTAAACGCAAGCCGGTGCTGCACTTCCCACCTTCAGCTCAGTGCCCTGTGAAGGATCTGGCTCGTTAATGCACGGCACGTTAATGACTTCCACAACACCAACGGCTAAGGATCAAGGAGGTTTACTTTATTACTATAAATTGTTTCATGTTCTTAGACTTCACATATAAATATCCTGATGACAACTAAAAAGGCACATCTATGAAGACATCATGCACCTCATCTGTGTCCGTATTTTATTACAAGAACTATCATGTTCTCTGCAGAAATAAAAGGCTAGAACTGGTTTTATGACATATACCTCTCTGTATTGACAAAATACTCAAAACAGTTGGTAAAAATTTACATTTCTACAAATTCTAAAAAATGACACTGCATCTGTAAATGGCAAATTCACTTCTCCTATGGCCAAAGGACAGATTAAAAAGCAGGCGGTCAGAGCCAGGGGATTCAAGAAGTTCAAGTGCCACTCACAGCTTCCTTCCCAGACTTACTGTATGCACACAAAGCACTCGCTGCTTCCTGCTGCTGCGCCTTCCGTTCGCATCCTAAAGATAAAAGATCAATGGAAATACAAAAGGATTTACAAAGCCACGTTTCTTTTAAAAAGCATTTGCCCCTTCCTACCATTCAGGCCTGTTCCCTCCGCTCCCAGCCACTCAGAGCTCCCTGTGGCAGAGCAGCTTTGTCACTGCTCACAGCTCTTACCAGAAGAAAGGGGGAGCTCTGACGGACTTTTTGCAGTAGGTGAGTGAAGAAAACAACGAGGTCAAGTCTCACACACTCAGCAGTGTAAATAAATACCAGTACAGTTTTATAGGAACAGGAGTATAAGTTTAAGGGTTTTATTATCAAAGTTCTGTAAAACAATTTCAGAAACTGTACATCAACATGGCACAGACTGTAGCCTACTTTTGTCTTTTTACCTGCACAAAAGTAAAAGCTGTTGAACTTCTGTAACTAAGAAAACTGCTTGCCTAACTACCTTGCATATAACGTGGAATCACTGTGTGCATAAGATTACTACTGCAGTGACAGCAACACAAATCAGTTTATACAACTTGAGATCAAGTAGAAAGTACATTATCAAGTAGACTTGCTTTTAAAAGCATACAAAGGTCAATTTTAAAATGCACTACCTTGTACCCACGGGTTCAGCTCACGAGCAGATAGAACAACCTGATTGGGAGAACTGCAATTACTACTGACTTGTAATCACCGGGCACTGATCAAGCAGGGATTCTCACTTCCCACAGCTGAAGCACAGAAGCTCAGAACCATTTACAGCTCGTCACTTCTTGCTGCTTGGGGTGGATGGGAACCAAGGGGTGAAAGACTGGAACCCACAGGTGGAAGTCAGCCCTCCAAAGGTCAGTGCATTTTAACTTTGTCAAAGCCAGAACAAAACCCAGGGGGAAAAAACAAGGAAACAAAAACCAAAGACAAAACAAAAACCCCAAAAACAGAAGCCCAGCCACGTGGCTTAGAACAAAACAAACCCTACCTATGTCAGAATGCTTCTTTCCAGATGAACTGTCAATTTTTTTTTCTGTGTAGTCACACTTAAGACCCTTAAGGAGATCCACTGTATGTTGTAGGATTTTAGAACATTTAGGATGTTTCTGCCACAATCAACATGCAGTCAGTGCATTCCCTAAACTGCTCTATTACTGCAATGAATCAAAGTCTAGAAACACTATCATAAGTGAGCTGATTTACTACAGGAGATCATACAACAAACAGTCCATGCCTGCTGTAGATGCATGCAGCTTTTTACTTTTGCTTGAAGCATCACCAAGTTAGTAAAAATTGCTTGGCTACGCAATCCCTTTCGGCCATAACAAGGATGGTTACCTTTCTAGAAAGCTTTTGATGTGAGTTAGTATCAGGAGCCTTACAAACCATGTATAGCTTGGAGCTGTATACATCTAGATTTAGGATTAACAAGTACAGCATAAAAGAATCACACAGGAATGACACTGATGCACGTCTGCAGCCGTGTTCACTGCAAAGGCAAAATTCAGTCACTCATATCCATGTCCTCCTCGTGGTGATCATCTCCATTTACTTTGGACTCCCTTGCTGATTCGCCGCTTCCTTTCTCAGCCGCAGACTCCTTTACTTTCGGAGAAGAGGAATCTGCCATTTTCTTTTCTTCCTTTTTCTCCTTCTCGCTGTCATATCCCTGTTCCTCTTCATCATAATCCCTTGTGACCTGCTTTGCCGAGATAAGAAGACAAATTAAAACTTGCTTTCACAGCCCCTGAAGCACAAGGGCAGCTCTGCAGCAAAGGTGGGGAAGATAAACAGGTCCTTAAACATACTTTCACATCCTTATCGCTCTCAGATTTCCGTTCCCGGTCCTTCTCTTTGTCTTTGCTTTTTTTTTTCTTGCTGGTTGACCGTTCCCTCTCGTCTCTACTTCTCTCTTTGTCTTTATCCTTCTTTTTTTCCTTTTTATGCCTACAGTGATAAAATACGGAATGAAAACCACAATCACACCATTGCATGGACAGAACCCAAATTACGCCCAGACCGTCACCCGCAGTCCCTAAAAAATCCAAAGGCAGAAAGAACTACGGGCAACGTGGTGCCACCTGCTTTCAGAAAATAACCAAACACCCCCATTCCTCAGCTCTGATCAAACACAGCCACCACAGAGCGATAGCTGCACTTCTGCTTACAAAGCCAAACTCAGTGCTTTACTAAGGAACCGCCTGCTGGAGGGGAGACGATCAGATGTGCACCAGGAGTCAGCTGAGCAGCAGTGCACAGAGCCAAAGGTGCCGGCTGCCTGCTGCTCCTCCGCCCTGAACAGCCCTGGTGTGGAGCTCCTGGGTGCTGCTGTACAGAAACTCCATTCCTGAAGCTCATTAAGTTATGCTAAAGGAGGCAGCAGATCCACTCCTCCCAGGGAGGCAGCTCACAGGAAGAAGAGACAAGCCGTGTTGGTGCCACCTCCAGACCAACCCCACGGCGCTGTGCTTCAGTTCACGTTAGCAGTTTTGCCCTGGATGCATTTTTCAGCCAAGAGCTCACTGACCTTCTGGGAGATGGGGACCTTGACATTTTCCTTTTAGGTGACCTGGGCTTTTTAGGTGACCGTGTTCCACTCCTGCTTCTTCTACGCCGTCTTTCTCTGCAGGAAAGAATCATTAAAGCCTTTTTTTTTTTTTTTTTAAGCTCTGAATACATCCGTGGCTCCAGAATGAGCTCTAAAGGTAGTAAATATACAATGTAAGTGGAAGCTGGTACCTACTGCCAGCAGTACTGCAAAGCCCACGCAGCTGCTATCAGCAGAGTGAGCCACTTGCTATTACACCACCACCTTAACGAAGAAACCGCTGCCCCATGTATCCCACCCCCGACATCTCCACAGCAATCACCACCCTACTAATTACAAGACTTATTTCCACTGATGTGGACCAGGTATGCTGGAAATACAGAACCATCAGGTTTCCCACAAGTCTCCATACCTGCTTGTGCTTCTGGATCTCCTCGTTGTGCTGTAGCTTTTGGGGGGAGTCTTAGAACGTTTCTTTTCTTTCTCTTCTTTCTTTTTATCCCTGTCAGTAAAACAGACATTTATGTTAAGTCCTTTGCAGGCTATTCAAGCAGCATTTGCTACTTCTGCTATACAGAAAAATGAATGAAGACACGACAGTTTCATTGCATAGCATATATTTTATCTTTTTTTTTTCTAGTCACATCGATTTTAATAGGCAAGAAACCCAAAAGACAATTTCCTGTTAAGAAATATAAGAACAGTTTTGTTATGAAAACTACTGTGTGCAAACAGCACAAGATCTGTAAGCCTGGATGCCCACATTCCCTGTTTCCCAGAGGCAGCCCATGCAGAACCACAGCTAAGCCCAGTGCCTGGCAGCTCTGTGGAAAAGCACGGCCTGCACAGTTCACACAGCTGGCTGCACACACGCAGGGCAAGCTCTACAAGGACATAACAAGAGACTGCTGTTACTATACAGCCACAGGTTCCTCTTTTAAATTAAACACCTGAATTTTACAACTCAATCACTAGCAAATAGACTACTGAAGGATTACCTGGTTTTGGATGTGCTCCTGGATCTTCTACTTCTCTCTCTGGAATGAGATCTCCTTCGCCTTGGACTTTTAGATCGCCTCCTGCTTCTTGATTTTGAATGGGACCTTCTCCTTGATCTGCTTCTTGACCGTCTACCAAAAGTACATTGCAGTGAGAGTTGAATACATGAAATGCTGATCAGATTCATGCTAACTGCATTGCAGTGGAGGAAACAGAAAAAAAGAGTACAGAAAACCAAGCAACCAAACGAGTGGATTTTCAGCCAGCTCTCCTAACGCCCTGCTTGCAGGAAAATAGCAGACCTACTGGAGAGGAAAAGTGGCAAGGACTATTGAGGTGTGAAGAAATGTTTAGAACACCAAACCCAAATACTGACCTGATGGGCAAACAGCAAAGAAGTGCAAAGAGCAGGACAGTTATAACAGCTTCACAAAGGCTGCTGGCACACGCTGTCTGACTGGGAGTTGACAAGCTGACATTACAAATAAGCCAACAGTACTTCTGCTTAGGCAGGTCAGCATTAACATCCTAGTCAGGATATGTGAGCAGATCAAACAGAATGTGCTGCACATACAAGAAACAAGCAGCCCACAGATTCTGAGCACGAATACCGGTGCTCACACAAGTCTCCCAGTGCTTGGTTTTAAGACAAGCTGTCATTTCCACATGAGCATGTTGGAAAGACATTGAAAAAAGAGGAGAGGTTTAAGGAAACGTTGTAAAACTGACTGCCTGCAACAACTGAAATCATTGACAGCAGAAAGAGCCGTGCAAAATCAAGGCTTGTGCTAAGCTGCTGCTTTTCTGAAATAAGTAGCCTGGTTTTTTAAACCAGCCCAAACTCACATAGGCAAGGAAGCCACATCAGCAGACGTGCTGCTCAGCTGCTCCTGAAGTTCTTGCTGCTGTAGTTTAAAGGATTTTTGAAGGCATTTTTGCAAGCATTGCTCTCCAACCCTTCCTACAGAAACAGGAGCAGGCCTTCATCCCACACTGCTGTTCAGGCAAACCACACTCACAGCTTTCCTCACAACTCTTCCATGCCTCCAAGTGTCAGCTCCAAAGAAGTGATGTTGAACACATCATTCCAGCAGTGCTGTTTTTGTTTTGCTTTTAGAAGCACATCCAGTAACTACCTGTGTCTGGATGAAGAAGGTGTCCTCCTCCTCCTCGAGCGCGATCTTGACCTTGAATGCCTTCTTTTTTCATCTTTTTTGTCTGGAGTTAAAAAGAAAAAGTTTCTTTTTTTAGTATTATTTTAGTACCCAAGAACATTTTATAAAGAAAACCAAGTTGGACTTCACACTGTAGATGTAAGTACAACAAAGAAGTTGAACTGTAGCTCTCCTTTTTCTCAGAAGAACAGATGACAAAGACATGCATGAAATAAAAATCCACAAATTCAGGTGCAAAACTGAAGTCAAAATCCAGGAAATTTTTAATTTAAGCCACTTAGAGAATAACAGCTGGAAGGCAATGAGGAGCTCTGTTAAAATCCCTTCTGCTAGTTTATGAGGGCTAAGGAACCTCTCAGATTGCTTTCAATTTGATCCAAGTTACTTCTCATTCTTACTGGACACATCTGTGAACAAACTGCTGCAACAATGCTACACCTCATCACTGCAGAACTGAATCACACACACACAAAAAAGGAAAAGAAAGCATTGTCCACAGATCAGGAATTAAAAGAAAGGAAATCACTGCCAAGAGCAAATATAATCTGAGGTTAAGTCTCCCTGCATCTCCAGGACAGCTGCAGCACAGTGTGCAGCAATGAATGTGTTCACACCAGTGAATCAGAAATTCAGCCACCACAGAAGATAAAGGCATGAAACCAGTAGTGAACAGACATTATGTCCAACCACCTCCACGAATGAAGGATGCTACGATGGAAAATCACCTGGCTCTATAGCAGCAGAAATTAACGACTGTGCTTCTCGTACTCTTTTCATAGCTTCTTCTATTTCTTTACTGGAGGTATCTGATTTCAGACTTGGTGAAACAAGACCTGCAGCTACATGGTTCAACCTGGAGAACAAAAGTAGCAATTCAGGCATTCAGTATATTAATATATCCAAAACACACAAGCCCACACTGCCAGTTTGCAGCCTACCATTCAGGTAACAGAGAAATAAGCCTGTGATGATACAAAACAGCAGCAAACATGGCTCTCAGTAAGCCATCAATAATAATAAATAACAACTGTTATGCAGTCATTTACAGTTGCTGCTCATCTTGGCTCGTTCTCAGCCATATTGCTCTCCAGGGCTCTGTCTGCAAGCTGCACCATTACATCACAGGCACAAGAGCGACCAAAATTGCATGCAGGAAACTTTTTGTCTCTAGCAAAATGAAATGGCAGAGACTGACTGGGTATTTTATATCTACAATAATTATTATTTAATTGACCCAAGGCAGAATAATCATAGTTTCCTGTCCTCTTCTCCCCACCAGAGCAGACAGAATCAGCAATGACCTCACAGCACGAGGTTTCTCCAACCTTAATTAGATCCAGTAGCACAGAGGTGGGGCTCTGAATCACAGGCATCATCCCAAAAGAAAGCGTTTCCCACAAGTACAACTGCTTGTAAGTAACAAAACTTACTTTGGATCCACTGTGCTCATCAGTTTGAGGAGTTGATCTGCTGCAAGAGACTGTGGGGGGGAACAAGTTAAAATCACGTTGGAAGAAGCACGTGCTGAAGATGCCAGTGTTCCACCAGCAGTGACTAAAGCAGCCTCTGCAAGCGAGCAGCCCCCCAACAAGTTACAGACAGAAAGATGCACCGCTCTGTTTCAGAGCCTGGGGGGGATGAGCGGCTGCCTGCTGCATTTTGAGGACGCTTTTTGCTCCCCAAAGAGCCAAGCAGCCTTTCCCAGACAGAATCAAAGCACTTCCAGATGAAAATGAACACACTTATTCTATGTACAGGTTAGCTCACTGTTACTTCAAGAACACAGACTTAATTAGACACATGCCCAGCAGAAGCTCTCGGTGTCAACTTAAAAAACAAGCAGTTCCTCCACTCCAAGAATGGCATTAAGTTCTGCAGCTCTTCAGTAAATGCAGGCATTACCACCTCTGCCACTTCCTGAACCAACAGTACATTAACAAAGCAAAGCCTTTTGTTTCCAGCAACCTCAACACAGAGAGGCAGCCACTGCAGAACCCAGTCTTGCAGTCCAACTGGCTTACTGGACAAAGGAAATAATCATTCCAAATGTATATTTTTCTAAAAAGCATTTTAAAATGCTTATTTTTTCCTTCTTTCTTTTCCATGTTGGCATTATTTGCTTTTGTTGGCACACGAGGCTTGCATAAATAGAATGCTAGATGAGGAATTTCCTCAGCACTGCAATTAATAAATGCTTCTTTCATCTGTAGGTTATGCTCTCCATGCAGTGCCTGGTTCTCACACCTCAGACATTAACTCAGTGTTCTACTCACTGTTTTCTTAGTACTCAAAATCTTTTTTCTTTTCCCCAGTTACAAAGCCACAATCTAACCAAGTCTTGGTGTTTCCTACCAGTACAGAATGAAGGAGCCAACCACCATTTTTTACTGCTGATCTGTCACAAGACAGACTCACAGGATGGTAACGATGCATTCGAAGCATTCCACTGTTCATCTCAAACTATTCATAGGTTCTTGTAGCACTGAATGTAAAAGTACTGCAGATACCATTTCTTCTAAAGGGGAAAAATCAATCATGGGATTTTCAGACAGTGGCTGCTGAACTGATGTAACTGAAAATTGCTTTTCATTGGAGAAGAGGGCAGCAAAAAAAAAAAACCAAATTCCAGATCTTGAGCTTGTTATTTAATACAGTGGTGACACCTAAGAGAACGTGTGACACACCTGAGAGTTTAAGTTTGCTCCAGGAAGCCCGAGAGCAGCAAGGGCAGGATCGAGAGCAGGAGCTCCGAGAGCAGCTAAAGGAACAGCACCAATCTGTAACAAAGGCAGCAATTAGAGCAAGGTTCAACTGATACAAACCCTTAAAAGTCTCCACACGATCCATAAATATCCTAACGTGAAGCTGTCAGGGGTTACCAGGAAAATTCACTTGAAGTTTCTGAGCCAGTGACCTCATTCTTCCGTAACTTTGCCCAGGATTCAAAGCCCAGCTCTGAGCTCCTGAACAACTCAGTGCGAGTTCATCTTTCACAGTCACAAATGAGAGAAGTCACACGCAGGAGCGCAAAAAGCACAAGCTGAAGAAGATCTGAAAAACGCAGAGCTAATGAAGCCTTCTACTCTTACAGATCTGCCTCCTGCACTTTGGTTCTGTGCTCTAATAAGATGTGTTGGACTTTTTATTCTGTAATATACATATATTTTTTTACTGTTCATCTTCCACATGATTTCTGTGTATTTAAAGAGCAAACGCACGCTGTGACTTTCTCCTCCCTCAGCTGAATGTTACTGGAAGTTATTTCTCCACAGCACAACGCTCTCTTGAAATGCAGGAATTTCAGCTCCACCCGTAAGGTCTCTGCTCCTCTCAGGTCTGTCAGTAAGCGAACAGTGGAGAGAAAAGAGAGCTGAGGTGCAGATGAGCCGTGAGACTCGTGCAGGGCACACAGGGAAGGGAAGCACTCCTAACAGCTCATCAACATGCTGACAGAAACCGCATCGGAGCGCTGCAACAACGCCCTCCATAAAGGAGCCCAAGCTCAGCACTGGCATCGGCACGCCAGTGGCTTTGACTGGAAACCAACCAACAACTGGCAAGAAGCAAGCGAGCGGCCAGCAATGCGTTCCCTTCATCTGACCAACCAGAAAACCTACCTGAGAAAGTGGGTTGGGAGTAGGCAGGAGTCCACCTCCAGGCAGCAGACCTGCCACAGCATTGGCTGGTGCCAAGAGAGACAAAGCCTTAGTCTCATCAGGAATGACTCCTGCAGAGAAATAGCCGGGCATTAGAATGCATCCTTTTTCTAAAGCAGAAAATACACAAATACACCCAAGAAAATGTCTCCCTGATACACCACCTGAGTTTGTTGAAAGTACTTATGTTTGCTAAAATACAAAGCTTGATGGCTATTAATATTTATCATTAATTTTTTTTTTTTTGTCAGAATGAAACTTCAATGCGTGAAAATCTGACTGTTCCTTTTTCTCTACAAATGGTTAAGTATCTAGAGCAAAAAAAAAATAGCACAATACACACTACTTTTTTGTTAACACTGCCAAGATTTCATCACCTGTACTCGATTTTTAAGTCATGAACCAAACGTAAGCAAGCACAGTCGGTTCTCCAGGGGTGTGCTCTCAACTTTCAAAAGCTGTTTTATGAACAACGACTCGTGTCGGCTGCTTCACTACAAAGCACACAGAAAAATCAAGATACACAAGACAAAAAAAGTTTGATTTAGGGGTTAATAATATGGTACAGTTCACTATGTTTTCTTTTACACCTACCACATCAAATTTGTAAAACTTAAAGAGAAGGTACGGCAATATCTTTTGCTGAATCAAGCGTAGGGCTTTTGCTGACTTGTCAAATAAAAAGGACAGGCTCTGCAGATCTTCCCATACGGGCTGTGTGTGAGTGTCTGCGGGTGCATACGTACAGTACGTCGTGGCACATTCCTTACCTGTGCAGTAAAATGCTTATGTTCCAATATGTGCCATGCTTATTGTACCAACAATGCTGCTACGGAAGAAACTTCTGGCCCCAAATCTTGCAGCCAACTAAGACAAGCGTCTTACTGCACTGCCTGCTCTGCACGGATAATTTGAAGGCTCCTACCACGAAACAAGTACTTATGCAGGTGCTTTACATTCTATCCAACAGCAAAAGCCCTATACAGATGGATTAATTTGTTAATGTGCCCAAGCCCCCAAAATGAGAGTTCAATAAAACAATTTTACTAAATATTTGCAAATACCAGTAGTGTTTCTGTAATACATATTAAGAAACTGCATCTCATCATAAAACATACAATATGTACAGGGCACTTAAGAGAAACTGGATAAGCTGCAGAAGAAAACTGTTGGGTGGTATTTTCAGCAGGGCCTGGTATATAGTTCAGGCTGAACCAGGGAAAAGAACTGTAAAACACAACAACAAAAAAGAAAAACCACTGTTAAATAAAGGTAATGGTTCCTCCCACCTATACTGAGAAGTGCCGATAATACAAACAAATGTACAACACACAGCACTGTTATCTGGCTCGTGTCATTGAGCTGCCATCAATTTAGATACCAAAAGTTATGGAGGGAGAGGAGGGGAAAAAGGTCACTTAGATAAAGGGCATTAAGGCATAAATATATTAACATACCTACAGAGAGATTATGGGGTAATTTCGCATGCAAAATTATGTCTCAGAGGATATTTATCAATTACAGCTAAACATTTCAAATTAGTGCAGCTACAACATTTCCGGCAGCTAGACACAAATCCTCACTCATCTCCAGACACCTCAGAGAAGATCTGCATTCATTAAAAAAAAATCATGCATCTGATCCTCTACTCGTTTTTTAAAAAAGTATTTAGAAATAAATAAACTACAATTTTAAAAAAGCAATGAGGCCCCTCACCAGTTAATTTTCATGCTTCAAGAGCTTTTTTTACTGCTGCTTTGTTAGAACCATGAAATACTGTATGAATATGTAGAAATGAAAGAAAAAGAAACAGACAAAAGAAACAAACATTAACCAAAGAACCTAGATACCCCCCCAGCCATCTTTAATCTTAGAGTTCCTTCCAAATCTAGGAATATCACAGTGAAAATTACAATGAAGACTAAACCTTACCGTAGACTTTGTGTATAGCTCTACAACACAAAGCAACAGCCAACACCAAAATGTCTGTGTGTGCTAAAACTGGAGTGCGCTTGTGATGTATGGGATAATTATTGCACTAGACAGATAATAAACATTCACTTTAGCGACAGGCAATATTAAAACAGAATTATCACAGCAGAAAATAGGAGGCGTGAGGGCCCGGTTCAGCACAGCAGTTGAGCATCTGCCTGACTTTCAGCACATGAGCAATTTCACCGTGCTCTGAAGGATCTCGCTCTTAAGTAACGCGTTGAACTGGGAGCCGGCAGCACGCAGCCAGAGGTGCAGCCTTGCTCCCATGCAGGGACAGAAGCCCATGGTTACCAAACGAGGGCAGAGCCTTACTGGCTGAGCACGCGGCTGCGATGTGCCACATCCTCGTGACAGAACTGCTCGCACTCCGAATCTCTGCAGTACCATAAGGAACAGCCCATGAGGAACTCTGTGACTTAAAGAGGCCCGTTAAAATGCAACTTTAAACAAGACTGAAACTACTGGGCAGAGTTTTTGACAGCTTTATCCAGGTGCAGCACAATGGACGAGTCAGACTGACAAAGGTATCGTTTTTATCCTTGCTGGAAAAGCTGAACGCTGACATCTGCCAGCACGGGCCTTGCAGAACGTTTTGGTACCGACTGATGGACTGTTACTAGGTCATGCTTTCATACAAAGAGGAGAACGAGATGCCTCTCCACTACACTGTAATACCTGGAGCAGGGAAAGCAGAAGCAGTAACTCCACAGCAATTTCTGAATGTGCTCTGTACTCCCCAAAGCAGCATGTCTCAACCAAAGGTCACGCTGCAGATTCCTACGTTCCAGAAATTGAGTTTCCATCTCTCTTACATTGCAGGAATACAAAGACAAGACGGTTCCCCGGGCCTCCAAAGACATCCTCATAGCATTACAGTGTCTTGACAAAAGGTCTGAACACAGACCGTACACCACATTTATTACTGTAGCATGACTTAATCTGCAGAGGTGGTATTTAATTCAAGCCATTTGGGAAAACCCATTATTTCAGAAGTAAATCAGTACAAGAAAACAGTACAATGGAAATCAATTACTTCTAAAGCAAGTCTAGAAGAGTTTAATAAGACTTCTGCAAGAAGAGGTGTCTTCTCAGCACAGTTTTTAAGTTCCAAAAACCCTGCTCATTGCCTTTCAAATTACTGTAACACCCTAAAATGTAAAAATAAAAAGAAGAAGAGAAAATGTAGTTAACAAGTGGTTACACCAGGAAAACACTTGGGGACTTGAGTGCTTGCTGGCCTTTAGTTAATGTCTAGAATCCCCTGTAGCTGCAGAGGACCCACTGTTTTTCAGGCATCTGGAAGGGCTTTGCATTTGCCTTCTCCACTACAAAAATCACACACACAAATAACAGAGAGAAGAGTTTATTATTTAGTGAAATTCTATTAAAATATAGCATGGCTGAACAAGAAAACTTGGAATAAAAACTATTACCAGTGCCCATGTGGCACCTCTCGGAAGATCTCACTTTCAAATTCAATCCTGACTACTGAAACCCTTGGTATACTGGAGTTCACAATGAGAGTGAATGAATGGCTTTTCAGGGAAGCTCCCCACCGGGTGCAAGGCAGCACATGTCAAAGAGGTGTTGGCTGCTCTCCCGTGGACTCTCGGGGAGGGAGAAACTTTCTCGTGAAGAGATTCACCCACAGGTGAATAAGGCAAAATCTCCCCTGAGCGTTGACCTGTTTGCAGAACTCCATTGAGGAAAACGTCTCACTGACATCAATAAAGAGCACAATTTGCAAGCAATTCTGCCTAAACTGTTCATATTCTAATCTTAAGACACACAAAACCAGTCAGAGGCAAGCTTCCCGTTTTCATTCAGCACCGCTAAATAAAAGCGGTTTGTAGCCCGGGAGCCAATTGCAATATACCAAGGGTTTGTAAACGTTAATGGCCGTACGTCTGGCATTTTCCTAACGCTCATTTTTGCGAACTACACTGGAACAAAATGTCATCATATGCTGGCTTCATAGACCAGTAAACAATTCACAAACCTTCTGCATACGGAACGACTATCAGCGCTCTGTCGACGAACACCGTGTTCGTCAGGTGCTGGGCCACAACCGCCGAGTCGGGATCGTGGAACTTTACAAAGCACACACGGGATGACACGGGCAAAGGAGAGTCACTGCAAAACAAGGAGAGAAAGCGATGAGATGAAACCAAATCGGTCGTGAGGAGACATCATGCTACCTGCTCTTGCCTGTCACTGAACCGGAAAGTCGGACGGGTTTACAGAAGAAATCACACGGAGTGAAGACGCTCTCTTATGAAATTACAGAAATAATCCCACTGCCTTGTTTGTAACTGAAAATGAATTCCATTGTGCAGGGTATATCTATGGCAGTCACCTACGGGCAAATTAGTTCTCATTACTTATCTGTAAGAAAGGAAGGAGACAAATAAATGACAAATAAATGTCAACGAGGTCTCTGGGGAGCTGAACAGCCGTTTGTGAGGGTGGATGGTGACAGGACAAGGGGGAATGGTTTGAAGTGAGACAGGGGAGGTTTAGGTTGGGTATTAGGAGGAAGTTTTTCCCCCAGAGGGTGGTGAGGCACTGGAACAGGCTGCCCAAGGAGGCTGTGGATGCCCCATCCCTGCAGGCATCCAAGGCCAGGCTGGATGTGGCTCTGGGCAGCCTGGGCTGCTGGTTGGTGACCTGCACACAGCAGGGGGTTGGAACTGATGAGCGTTGTGCTCCTTTGCAACCCAGGCTGTTCTGTGATTCTATGAAATACTTTACTCAAGGAAAACAGAGCTATCTTACATATATACTGCAGAAGCCCTCAGAAATGGGAGCTGTGTACTCTCTGCTTTAGCACCCAGATTAGATTTTTGAAGTAAACTATAAAGAAGGCAGTGATTAAAATACAATTATTTTACTTCTTAACACTGTTTCATGAATACTTCTAGCCCAAACTTCACTGTGCTTCTCCTTGTTGCCAAACACACACACAGAACCCACCCATCTCCCTTCAGAGGGAGGCACACTGCTCAGAACATGCCTGTTATTCAACAGTAACAGAACAAACAGGACTGTCACGTAGGCAGTGCTATAGATGAAATCACACAAAAGGGCAAAGAGCTCCTGGACAGCCAACCTGTAACCATAAGCCTCTTGGCAAGACGGGCCCTGCCTACTGCACAGCTCAGAGTGAGCACCTCAACAGGGCTGTGCAAAAATCCCAGGTATGGAAAATCCAAAAGAGAACGTGGAAAATTTGAGTCCATTTAAAGACTAGGAAGATCTCCTTCTTACAAGAGTAAGAAAGCATGGCAGGCTGTGCAAGCCCCGGGGGAAAACAACAACAACAGAAAGAATGAAGGCAAAATCAACTCAGTAAAGTTCCAAAATAGATTTCCAAAAGTCCACACTATATTAAAACTGCAAATTTTCCTTTAGTCACTGATTCAAATTACATGACAGGAAAAGAAAATGTTATGCAGACAGAACTGCACAGCAGGTGAGGTAAGAGCTGCCTACAGAAGATTCACAGCAGGCACAGGAAGCAGCATCAAGTCCCTAATGCTGTGCTTCCCAACCAGGGCCAGGCTGCTCCCAGCTCTCAGGCAGCAACCAGCAGAGGAGCCAGCTCTCAAGAACACTCCCCGAGTCTTCATCACACTGACCTGCCTTTGCCAACCAGCACCCAGAGACAATTAACAGGACTGTTTTGAAAATGCATCCCACTGCCAGACTGTTCTATCTGGAAAACTGACCAAGTCCTTCATCACTTAAAATAGGGATTATCACAATTCAGGAGAAAGAAGAGTGATATGAAGTACAAAATGACACCTTTTTCCTTCCATCAGTGCCAATGCCAACAACTAGCTAACCTTCACCACCACCAAGCAAAGGAGTCACAGAATCACAGAATTGTAGGGGTTGGAAGGGAACTCCAGAGATCATCGAGTCCAACCCCCCTGCTGAGACACACAATGATTTCCTGTGTCTCAACAACGTATCAGTTCTGACCCACATCAGGACAGCTGGGCATTCCAGCCCTCACCTCCTAAACCCCCACATACCTCCTTCCAAGTTTCCCCACATCACAGTCTGCATTTCAAATACATCGTATTTCTGAAGGCATATTCCTGCTGCTTACACCAACACTGCTGCTGCTCTAACATCCAGGCTGCAATGAATAGTGGGCAAGTAGGAGATGTCTTTCAGCATCACCATATTCATAGTAGGGTGGGAAGAACCAGAGCAGGAACACCCACCCATGCTCACTTTGCCACAGGAGTTGTCATTCTTTTCCCAGCACAGCAACTATGCAGCACTGAGAACCAAGCAAAGCTGCTCTTCTGAGGAGAGTTGTTGCCTTACTGTCACTTGCAATTATTACAGAGAAGGCAAAAGATTTTGCCAATTACCACCACATCCAAATTACGAAGTCAAAATATACACTCCTAATTTTATCATTCTTTCACTCTGTAGATTAGATTTTCCAGCAAATACGTTTTCCTCCTGATAAATTTCTCTGTTCGCTGCACTGGATCACTCATCCACCAACAGGACCAGAATCCACACTGATTTCTGCATCCACATTTCAGAGCAGAAACGTACGTTCTGATAGAAGGACAGCCTCCACATGGTAAACAAGACATGCTGAGATCATCTTCTAAACATGTGTGCAGAAATGTTTTTAAAACATTCCTACGTGGATGCATACAATATAATTCAATTTTCTATATTATATATCCCGTACGATTTTGTTACACATGGTACACATGTACACATGTACATTTTGTAAGCTCTGCCAGAAGCCCATTCCCTCCACTTCTGCCCATCTCAGAGTCAGGACCTCAAGTTTATAGGAGCAGGAACAGCAGAGCCTCCAGCACAGAGGAAAGAACCCACAGTGTGGGCAAATACTCCTCTCCCCTGGGCTTCCAACGAAACCAGACACCCCAAGCACCCCTCCCACCATCCATCACCCAGTGTGGCCACACCTCCCGGCACAGCGCGGCGCACGGCGGCACCTCCACACCGACAGAGGCACAAAGGGAGCAACAGGAAAAATCCTCACCACCGCCAAGTTAAAAATGCAATCCCAGCCTGAAAAAAAGCCTTTTCCAACTTCAACTGCACAACCTTACCTCATTTAAACAGCGTACAGAGTTTTTAAGTAAAGCCAGTTTTCCATTAAGATACAACACAGTTCACTCCAACAGCTATTCAGTATCTTCTGCATCTCCTGTGCCAGACCCATTTTGTTACACTACATTTCCTGTTCTCTATTGACCTCCTCAGTGGTTTTTCTACAGTAACAACTTCCTCACAAAGGGCTAAGATCTTCACAGCAACCCTAAGGGATGATGCTGCATTATCCTCTTTCATTTAGAGATCTGAAACACAAAAGAAATATAGGCCAAACGTTCTCAGTGACCTTTAATGCTTTGAGACATCTGGAATCTCAGGTTATTCACACCACTTTGCCTCCTCCTCCGCCAGCACAGAGCCCTCCCTGACACAGCTGTGAGAGCCACAATACCAGTGCCACAACAAAGGAGGCAGAAGTGAGCTGGGAAGAGCAGGAGCTCAGCGTGCAGAAACAGCCTTACACTAGGATGTGCCAAAAGGATGCCTTGAAGATACTAGCTATCTCCCAGCATCCAACGCATCCAACAGACAAGAGGATACAATTCAAAGCTCTCCAAAGCCACCTTATCCCTCCTGTAACCCAGTCCTCGGATATATGCATGACAGACTTCAACGCAATCCAGGGCAGATCCACCAGCTGCACTGAGCAAGGTCCTACGGGGCCAGCAATTCACACGTTTGTGCAACAGAGCCAAGTCAAGCACAGCTGGCTGCCTCAGCTACGGTAACAAAGTTGCTGGGCTGAGCTTTGTTCCCTTCTGAAACAGCAGAAGTGATTCTTTAACATACGAAGTTAATATGTAGCTAAACCAGCACAAAGCTTCGGGAACAGACTTTACCAACAATAACCTCTCCTGAAAAACCAGCCAACACCTGGAAATGCCAAGCAGCACACTCAGTGATCGCATCTGTTTAAAGGCAGTTGGCTGTGCTGAGCACCACGGGCTCTGCCATCACACACAGCTACCCGGCTGCTAACAAAGCAGCGCTCGCACCCGCCGCTGCCTCTGCTTCAGTCACACACTGCCCTTCCTTCCACGTTCTCTTCTCCAGCACCGACTTTCCAGCAGCCAACCCAACCCGCACAGCACCCACAGTCTGCACAGCAGGACATGTAGACCTGCTTGCGGGGATCGAAGACCAAACGACGGAAAACGAGGCCGCCCCGCAGCAGGCTGTCCCACTACGGTTAAACACAGCACCGGCCGCCGGTTTTGCACGGAACTTTTAGCAAGGATCGAGTGGAAAACACTCGTTTTAAGGCTCGCCCTCATCTCCGAAACTCAGCCCCAAAACGAGGGGAGCCCGCAGAACCGCGGCCCGGCAGGCTCCGAGGCCGGCAGCGCTTCCAGGAGGGCGGCGGAGCAGGGCGGGAGCAGCCGCCGGGCCGCGGGCACGGAGGCGGGCGCAGGGAGGGGGGCGGAGGCAGACTGGCCTAAGGCGGCGGACTCACTCCGGGGGGAAGAGGCGCAGCTCCTCGATCTTTCCGAGGAAACCGAAGAGCGTCCGCATCTGCTCGGAGCTGGCGCTGGGGGAGACGTTGGTGACCTGGATCACGTCGGTGCCGCTGCTCGAGGCCATCGCGCCGGAGCTACAAACACACCGCGGGGGGAGAGAAGGGAGAAGAGCGCGTCAAGGCCCGAGCGGCCCCCGGCTGCGCCCTCCGGGCCGGGCGGGCCTCCCGCGGACCGCGGCCTGGCGCAGAAGCTCCGCCGCGCAGCGCGGCCGCCTCACCAGCCTGCCTGGGCCGCAGTATCCCACAATCCCCCGCCGCCGCCCCCGCGCAGGCGCAGCGCGCGAGCCCCGCCGACCCACGCAGCCTCGCGGCGCGGAGCGCCGGCGACCGCGCATGCGCACGCGCGCGTCCCTTGCCCCGCCCGGGAAGGCACGGGAACGGCGCCTGCGCAGCCGTGTGGAGAGCGTCGCTCCGCCTCCGCGCACGCGTACTGGGTGCTCAGGGGCGCGCGGGACGCACCGCACACGCGCGGAGTGGGGATGGGGCCGGCGGCTGCGAGGCGTTGGGCCTCGTGTTCGTGCGTCGGGGCGGTTCTGAAGGCATCGGCGGTGCCGCTGAGTCCCACGCGTCCTCTGTGCGACCTCCGCGCTCTGCTCCGTCCCTAACGGGGCGGGCGGGCCCTGTGCTAGCCGTGCTGAACGAGCAGCCTCCGAGGCGCTGCCATGGGAGCGGCCCTGCTCGCTGCCGGCCCCCTGCGGGCTGTCCCACAGGGGTGGGCGGCTCTGCTGTGTGCGCACACTGCCGTCAGTGCGCTGAGTGCTGCGGAGCAATGGCTGACACTCAGCTACACGGCGAGCGGTTGCGCGTTTCCCAGTTATTTCCCAAAATGCGTAAAGGTGCTCCTTTAGTAGTGATCGCTAGTAATTCAGGAAGTTGGCCGTTCCCATTTGTTGTCACGATGGCAGAGCTGGCCGGCTCCAGCTTTGCTCCTGCCCACAGATTTTCCTCTCACAGGGACAAACTAAACGTAACTCGGACACTCGGTGCTTTGGGAAATACGCAGTGGGAAAGCTCAGTGTTTCCCTGTGCAATATTGCCCAGGGAAGCCAATGAACTAAGGAGCAGTGGTTAAAAATCAGAAAGACCAAGCCTGCTATCAGAAGTGAGTGCCTGACAGGCGGTGGGCTCTCAGGCCATGTGCTCACTGACTCATGCTGGTGTTTAGCACCAAACACTGCCCACAAGTCCAATGGAACTTATCAGAAAAAGCTTTTTTTTCCCCCAGCGGTTTGTGTTTGAAAACTTGGAACTGAAGGTTACATCCTTTGTGGCCAGGAAGCATGGCTGTTCTCACTTCCCTCAAGGCACTGCTGATAGCACCGGGCTGAGAGAATCACAGAATGGCTTGGGTTGGAAGGGACCTTTAAGATCCTCCAGTTCCAATCCCCTGCTGCAGGCAGGGACACCTTCTAAACCAGGCTGCTCACAGTCCCAGCCAGCCTGGCCTTCAGTGCTTCCAAGGGTCATCCACAGGCAATCTGTTCCCGTGACTGATGGCACTGCCTGGGCTGTCTCCTCTGCTAACTGCCAGGGCTGGAATGCAGAATTTTTTCAAACTCTGGGCTAAAGGGAAGAGGAAAAACAAATAGCAAGTTTAAGTAAAAGTGCTTTTTTATTTGGAATCCTTTATGCATATGTTTAAAATGTTTTTCTTGAGCTCAGTGAGGGAAGGTTTAGATTGGATGTCGGGGGAAGTTCTTTGCTGTGAGAGCGGTGAGGTGCTGGAACAGCTGCCCAGAGAGGCTGTGATGCCCCGTCCATCCCTGGAGGTGTTCAAGGCCAGGTTGGATGGGGCCCTGGGCAGCCTGGGCTGCTATGAAATGTGGAGATTGGTGGCCCTGCCTCCGGGGGGGTTGGAGCTTCATGATCCTTGGGGTCCCTTCCAACTCAAGCCATTCTATCACTCTATGATTTCATGATTTTTCTGGATTCGCTCCTTGCAGGGAGTTGTAGAGAGCGATGAGGTCCCCCAGCCTCCCGCTCTGCAGCCTGCACAGCCGCAGCTCCCACAGCCCGGCTTTGCTCCTCGACTCGACCCTCCCAACCCGCCGCCGTGACACCATTTCGGCGCGGCCGCTCCGGCCGGGAAATGGCGGCAGCGGGCGGGCTGTGCCCCACGCGGAGCGCCGCCAGCCCGCCGCCCCTCCGAGGAGCTCCGCCCGCTCTGCCCGCGGCGGGGCGGTGCCGGCCGGGCGCAGCGCTGCGGGATGGCGGCGGCGCGGAGGGCGCGGGCGGGGGATCCTCGCGCCGGCTTCAGGCGGGCGGCGGACGAGCGGAGCCCCGCCGTGCCGCAGGGACTGATCCGGGCCGCCCGGAAGAGCGGGCAGCTCAACCTGGCGGGCCGCGGCCTCGGCGAGGGTGAGCGTGTGGAGGCGGCGTGCTGCGGGCGGGGCTGGGGAGCTGGGGAGCCGGGCTCAGCTGCCCTACGTGCCAGGCTGCTCTCTGTGCCCCGGCTGCGGGCGCTCGGCGGGCCGGCTGCTTCCTGCCTTCTTTGATAAACAAAAAAAAAGAAAGCGATGAATATTCCCTGCCCGCTTTCTTTTTGCTGTCTCTGGCCGATCGCTACCTTGTAATCGCTGTTCAGGAGCGCTTAGGATTGCCAGCTTCGGGAAAGCGGCTCTGTAAAAGTCGCCGTGTGTGTGTATTCTGAGAAACCGTGTATATGTCTGAGAAAACGGGCGTTTGAGCGCTGTGTGGAGCGTCCGGCTGAGCCCTGTGTTTTGGCTTGCAGTGCCCCAGTACGTGTGGCGGATCAACCTGGACACCCCCGAGGAAGCCCACCAGAACCTCTCCTTCGGTGCTGCGGACCGCTGGTGGGAGCAGACGGACCTGACCAAGTTGATCCTGGCCTCCAACCAGCTGCAGTGCCTGTCTGAGGACGTCAGGCTGCTGCCCGCGCTCACTGTTCTTGATGTACGTATTGGGATCCCATATCAATGAGATCGTGGTCTCGCTGTATGGTATGGGACAACATAGCTTTAGATCCTTGTTTTCCATTTCCTGCAGTGGTGGATGTGTAGAAGCAGCACCAGTGTATTCTCAGGACAAGGGGCTGCTCCCTGTCTCCCCTTGGTACATTGCTTTACACACAGGCAGTGGGTAATGCTGTGCAGAGAGGTCCAAGAGTCCCATTGTGAACACTGAAAGAGCTGTTGCTGCATAATGTGCTTCTGCAGATTTCATATCAAATAATTTGAACACTCAAATAGAAACCTACAAGATTGGCAGTTAAAGTGCTGCTGTTGGTAACTGTGCAGAGGAACAGACGTACACAGGTGTTGGTAGTGGACTCAATGGTACAGAGCAGTGTACACAGGTGTTGAGAATGGACTGAACTGTACCGAAGAACATACTCAGGTGTTGCTAATGCACAGAATAATTTTGAGCATTAGCTCAACTTGGTTTGTTGCCGAGTGGGTGGAAGAAAACCTACAAAGTGCAACTCAGTAAGTATTCCAAAACTTGTTTTCCAGGTACATGATAACCAGCTGACATCTCTGCCTTCTGCTTTAGGACAATTAGAAAATCTTCAGAAACTTGATGTCAGGTACTTGTCACAAACTTAGAGCATTGATTTTCAAGGTGTGAATGAGAGATTAGTAAAACTAATTTCATTTTCAGAAAAGTTAATATCTGTTGTTTGTTTATTTTTAATAGAGAACATGAATGCATTGGGAATTACATGTTTTAGGTTAAAACTGGTGGTCTGAGGTTTGTTAAGATAATTTTGACTATTACTCAAAAGTCACAGTCATATTTGGAAGCTGAATACTGATGCTTTGAATACTCACACAAAAGCTGTATCAGCATTCATTTGCTTCAGTACAGAAGTTGTGTTTTAAAGGAATAAAAATGCTTTTTTCATGAATAATATACATTGGAAATAGCTGAAGATATCATTCAGGCTGTAACTTTCATATTGTTCTGTAAGTTTGTACATGAGGGGAGAGTACATTTCTTTTTTGTCCGTGAACTTCACCATAAACAAGCATTAAATGCAGCTGGAATATTGTAGATTCAGATGTGGTTGAAAAGTATTCTTTAACAAAGAAATTTATTTTCTCTTAGGGAACTAATCCACTGTAAAGGGCTGTAATAATTGTAAGAAGGAGATTTTCTTAAGGGCAATGGTGTCCTGTGCAGCACGCCTACATGCAGGCTGCGAGGTGGAAATGTTTCACAGCTGTTCTGAACAGTTGGTCTGTGCCAACAACAGAGCATCAGATGCATCTAATGCTGGCTGTGCTTCCTACTTGCTCTGTGGTCTGAAGAGTTTGCATCTCCAATGGTGTGCGTGATGCAACCCTAGTTGGGGCAGCATGGTGTGTAGCAGAAGATTCTATATGTGGTTGTATTCTCAAAACTTTTTAACGATTGTTAATTGGCTTTGTTTTCCACGTTGGAATACCAGCCACAACAAGCTGAAGAGCATCCCAGAAGAGCTGCTGCAGTTGTCACATTTGAAGAGCCTTCTTCTTCAGCACAATGAGCTGAGCCACCTGCCAGATGGATTTGGGCAGCTCGTCAGTTTAGAAGAATTGGTAAATTGCAACTTCTTGAAAAACACTGATTTGTTCAGAAACATCAATCTATCTATGTTTTACTGCTAATTAAAAAAAAAAAGTCTGAGAACCTTATTCAGTAATTCATGGAGCTTATCAGCTATTTTGTGTATGCGCTTGCAACCAGGTTTTGATTTGGATTTTCCAGATATTTTAAGAAAAATCAAGTTCCTGGTGATCTGTCCATCGTGGGAGACTTCTCTCTTCCATTCACATCTCTACCAGGGAAATCCTGGAGAAGTCAGCAATCTAGTTTGAACATTCTGCCAGTAATTAACTTTGCAACAACGGTACCCATGGGATATTTTAAACATCTCTATTTATAACCTCTTTCTCTTTCTTTTCTTTTTTTTTTTACTCTTCAGGATCTGTCCAACAATCATCTTACAGACATTCCAACAAGTTTTGCTTTGCTCATTAACTTGGTGCGACTCAATTTGGCTTGTAATCAACTCAGAAACCTGCCTGCAGATATCAGTGCAATGAGAAGTAAGTTAGTTTCCTTGGATTGTTAAATGTCAGGCAGCCAGTTCTGTAGTTATGTTCAGAAATACATTACACAATATTCCAGGTTATTAAAGTAGGTTCTGAAGGATTTAAAGTATTCTCGAGAGGACTAGCTTAGAATTATTTAAAAAAAGAAGAAAGCTACTACAGCTCCCATGTATCAAACTTACATCCTCCTGTAGTTCG